TAAAACATACGACCATGCGATACAATGGTCTGATAATCAATACTATTACTTATTGGCTCTATAGCTCTTAAGTCGATTTGACAACTAATAGTCGTTATTTTCCCACTTAAAGACATTTTCAAGCCCCATTTTTTTAAGGGGAGTTTTAAATTAGTATTATCTTTCAAATGCCATTGTAATTTAACCTTTTCATTTTGTTGGCCTGCAAAAGGGACATATTACCTTTAGTACTTTGAGTGACGCCAAGACTTTCATGAAATCATATCAAGGGCTATTTCGTCAACCCGCTCTATTGCCCATAGAAATCATGTTCGAATTATAATCTCATTGTAATGTTCGAAAATAGCAATAGATATGATGTAAGACACATAGTCATAGTCATAATAATAATAATAATGATAATAACAATGATAATAATAATAATAATTATTATTATTATTATTATTATTATTATTATTATTATTATTATCATTATCTAATTAGGTTCTTGTTAAGCACTCATGTCTTTTATATTTGACATTCCTGGCGCTCCTCAAGAACCTATATAGAGAGTAAACAAAGTAAGTGGTGCATAAATAAATGAACAAGTATGTAGCGGCCAAAATAAAATTATCATACACTATCAAATAAATGATATGCTTGAACTAGAACGGGTGCAATATCCCACAAAAAGCTAGGTAATGTATGTAACACTTAATAGTAAACTATGATGACGTGCATATTATTTAAAGAGAAATTAAAAGGGAAATTGATCAAAGAATAAAGCAAGCACAGGGTTAGAAACATTACTTAATTTTATAGTAAAAAGTTAAGTTTGATTTAACTACTTATCGTCTGTTGAGAGCCGGAAGCGCATTACCTCCCTCATATTCTACTCACAGACTAAATACACTTTTCTGGCTCTCACCAGAGGTTATGTCACTTTAATCTATAAGATAGCTATCATTGATATACACATTTGGTTAAAAGTGGGGAACCCCCCCCCCCCCCCCCCTCCCGGTAATGGGTAAAAACAGGAACACGCATGTACATGTAGGTTTGGCGACATTTTACACCGTGAATCATTGGGTGACATTTAGTAAAAGTTTATCAAACCTGGGAAATATTTAAATCAAAATCCAAGCATGTTCTTTTTTTAAAACATAATAATGGGGAAAACTTTACCAAACTGTTTCTAGAGTGGGTAGGTAATACTTCTTTACTCATAATGATTTCAATGTTTCAGAATTCAATAATACAATAATGTAAAAGGTCAGTATCATCACGACGCAGCCCGAACGGATTGCTTTTAAAAGGTTTTTCATCGACTCAGACACATTTCATTATCACAGATATTGTCCGCTAATCAAAACGGGGTTAAACGTTTTTTTTTGTGATTACCCTTTGTCCCTGAAAGGAAGTATGTGCAATTATGCTGTCGACGTAATTAAAAAGAGGATTGACGAACTCCCCTTGGTCTTGTGAAGTGCTTGTTGTCAGTAACCATGGGAACGCAATTAATGAATCCCGTTCATGATCCATTTTGCCATCATTTTATATATGAGCGGGATATGGCAAGGCTTCGAATATATAACTGTGCATACTTGTATTGATGTGGATAATAATATAGATTTTTTTATTGCGCACTTTCGGACCTAATAAGTCACGCAAGGTGCTACAAGTATTAGTAGTTGTACAAAAAATACGTTAATACTATAATATAGGTTATACAATGCAACTACATTCATAGTGTTAGGAATAAAATCACATACATGTTATATAACATATACAATATTAGTGTAGACACCTTTTTTTTTGGTCTCGAAATTTTAAAATTTGACATTTTGCTCCGTCAGGCCCTGACGCTCATGGCGCTTTACACATATTACCCTGGTCGTAGCCGAGCTGCCAACGTAACTAGCGCTCACAAGGGTGGGGAGTGGCAAATGTAGATTGACATCTTGCCAAAGGACATTAGTGCCGCGGCGGAACTTGAACCCCGTACCTTGTGATCTGCAATCGGGTGACTTATCCTCTAGTCCACAACACACAAATAGGAACTGCTTTCATTTTATTACAAATGTTTCTCGATAGTAAATAGTTCTAATGTCCAAAAAGCTCTATCACCATAGTGGGGTGGTGGGGATATTCATAGATGTGCTGTATGTGGTAATTTTATTTTGTTGGATGCGCATTTAAGCCAATGGGAGTTTTAGGCCGATGGCCTGAGGGTGTCAACATAGCGGGAAAAAGGGAACTGTTTTTCGATTACAATAGTATTGATCCATGAACAAAACCACGGTAGGAAAAGGACATCTGCCGCGCACAGGGTGATGGGGTCGCGGTCAGGAGGGCCCTCTAATTGGGCAAAAAATGAGCTAGATAAGCAAAAATGGTGATTGCATTAAAACTGGGAGAAAATGTTCAGCACAATCACAATACAAACTTTAATTATTTTCAGAGTTCAGACATACGTTTCAAGATGAGGATTCGCGTAACGGGAAAGTTGCTCGTAATACCAATAAACCATAGCGATCCAACAATGATACCAATGTGTTTAAATTTCACCAGGTTGGCGTACACTGTAAAAAAAAGTTGGGCAGATGTTACTGGGTAAATCGAATTTTGGAAAATTTTGTCCGATAATCGGGTTATTTTCTCCCAACAATTTACTCTATGAAGTTACCTAATGAAAGGTAAAAAATAAGTTGGGTAGGTGTTACTTGGCAAATCGATGTTGGGCAAATGTTGTCCAATAATTGGGTTATTTTTTACCAACCATGTAGTGACCGATGAAATTATTGGTTAATGTTATTGGGCAAATTAAAGTTGGGCCATTTTTGTCCAACATTCGGGTTATTTTCTCCCAACCATTTACTACATGTGTAGTTAACCAATTAAATGTTCAAAATTAGTTGGACAGATGTTACTGGGCAAACGCAAGTCGTGCAACAATTATGCAACAATAGTGTTCAATTCTTACAGTAGAGGTATCGTGGTTGAGTGGATATTTCACAGGCCTGTGGATCACAAGGTCCGCGATTCGAATCCCGCAGCCGCTTTAATGTCCTTTTTTATATATGTATCATATTTTATCCAACTTATTTGCCCAACTAGAGTCTAATATGCTACACCTTATGGTGAGAATTGGGTGAATTTCTGATTGGGTAAATTTTGGTTGGTTAAAAGTTGGGTATTTTCTGTTTATCCAACACTGGGTAAATCATGCAAAATCTGTTATTTACCCAACAGTTGGTTGGACACATAATCGCCCTCATGTCGGGTAAAAATTGGGCAATTTTTTTTTGCCCAATATTTTTTAGAGTGTACCACAATAACTTCATAACTGCAGCTATTTAAGAATCGATCCGCTGTCATCGCGACAACATGAAAATAATCAAATATTAAAGCCTCGTTCAAATATGCAGCGGTAAACCGGGCCGTTTAAAAAAAAAACCTTCGGAAAAAAGTGCCCTTCAAAATAAAAAATAAAAACACTCAAACCACTCTGTAATAGACCTTTATCCACATGTATCAGGGGGTGCGCGCGCGCGTGCGTGTGTGTGTGTGCGTGTGCGTGCATGTGTGTATGTGCATGCATAAGATATATTGTATTTTCTTGATCATCCCCCACAATAATATTGGGGACCTGTCTACGCCACTGTAACCGAGATACAAGGAATAAAATGTTCACTAAAATGTAAATAAAATATCAATTAGCTGTTAACGAAGATGAATTTATCCTCATTTTATTGTGTTAGAGAAGATTAATTTATTCTCATTTAATTGTGTTAGAGAAGATTAATTTATCCTCAATTAGCTGTTAACGAAGATGAATTCATCCTCATTTTATTGTGTTAGAGAAGATTCATTTATTCTCATTTAATTGTGTTAGAGAAGATTAATTTATCCTCAATTAGCTGTTAACGAAGATGAATTCATCCTCATTTTATTGTGTTAGAGAAGATTAATTTATTCTCATTTAATTGTGTTAACGGAGATTAATTTTTCTTCGTAAAAGTAATAGATTTGCACATGTATACATATTTATTTGTATTCATTTCTACATATTAAATTGTATAGTACATTTGCATAAATATCTTGATTTAACTTGTTTAGATTATTTGTCTGGAGTAACTGACATTAATTCCTTTATGTTCAAATGATAGTTGAGTGAAGAGACTGGAGAGCATGTGTAGCACAGAGATCGATAATTCAGATATGTGTGTGGTAGTGTGCGGAGATGTGAAAAAAAATCAGGGAATCATTTTGATGAAATTTTGAGGAAAAATGAACAAAAATTCATTCATTTTGAAAAGATATACTGTTTGTCATGATTTAGGATATATAAAAACAATTATGAATGTTTGATACCCATGTATTTCGAGATACCCCACCCCTTCTCCATGTTAATTTTCATGAACAGTCATTCACAAGTTTGAAAACATTGTATAGCGCATACCGTACACAGCATGCGTCTGATCTAAAATCACTGTTTGAAGCTTATCAAAGTTTCGCAGAAGTTCAGGGCCATAGCTACATCATTTCGAAGTTGGGGGGGGGGGGGTGCAAAACAGGGAGGGGTTAACACCCCTCTGATCTACCGAGGGCCCTAGTATGAGTGCTGAGCACACGCGCGAACTTTGTCCAATCAAAATTCATCCTATATACAGTTCATGGCCAGTGAAGCATTGTTTGCACAACTATACAGTTGTCAATGATGTCATTGCCATTCCGTATTGAGGTTGGATTTTGGGTTAATGGGTTTGTTCGGTTATTTCTGTCGGGTGTACCGCTCTACTTTGGGATTTAAACAAGTAACTGGATAAAGATTCGCCAATTGGCATCTCCTCTAAAATATATACCAGTTTAGATGTCCCTAATTTGGTACTTTGGCAAAGATAATCTTCGAGTAATCTGAATCTAAGCAAACTTAGATCAGAAGGTTTACTACAGTTTGTTTTAAGGCGAAGTATCTGCTTTCTGGAAATAAAGACTTATAAAGTTAAAAAATTGACATCATGGAGACAGCATTGCAGACCCAGGCCCCTGGAACTATACACATGGATGGATTCAACACATCGACGCTGTCGGGATCAGCAGCGGTGTTTCTATCGTCGATATCGACGTCGACAGCAGCTATCATGATGTCCGACATCGTAGAAACCACCGAGTTCGGAATTATGAACGGTACGGAAGACTTCATGAACGGTACAACCGTGGGATACTCGGAGCCACATTATCTGACTGTTTTGAAGACATTTCAGAAGTGGCTCCTTACTGTGGCATTGGTCTGCATCATGCTATCAATGGGGGCTGTGATCACGGCGAAGGATTTCAAAGAAACGGTGAGCAATTCAGTCAACTCCTGCGGCGTATCAGGGGTAACAAATTGGCGGGGGGGGGTGTCTATGACACTTGCCCCGTTGACAATTACGCAGCTATCCGTATCCTACAATAATCGAATTCCTAACTTCAGCCCTTGGGCAGATCCATAATTTGTAAAGGGAGAGATATAAGGGGCACCATTAGAATTAAGGGGCAATTTCTATTTAAGGTATGTCATTTTGGTTTCAAAGTATGGTGGGGGGGGGGCACAAGTACAGGCTGGTTGCCCAAATCCGCCACTGCTTAAAACTATCATAAGACAAATTAAAACCCTAACCCGAATCCTGAATCTTTGACGATACAAAGCAGGGTTCAGATGTCCAAGTATTTGGACAACCCAGGAGACCCATGCCCCTTTTGGTTCACTAAATTAAAAAGAATGTAACTTAGTAAAGAGATTCATTTTCAAATCATCTTCAAGGATGACAGTATATGTGCCCCATGGCCTTTCGCCCCATCTTTAAAATCTTGAATTAGCTCCCGCAATTTCAATACACGTGTTACCCCGGGGTAAAAAACAGTAAATTTGAAATCCCGAAAGCTTGCATGTATACATTGTACTTAGTACGGCAATTAACACTAATTTACGCGGTTTACGCCTCTATTATGTGAAGAAGATATGAACAGTTAGGTAATTGTTTATAGTAGAAGATAATGTTCTGCGACGGAGATTATTCAAAGTTGACCATGTTTGTACTATAAAGGCCTACCATACATTTCAACAGGGTTCTTTATTCTCATTTGAGTAAATTTTGATTCATTGATTAATTGGATATAATTATCGTCACTAGGGGTTTCCCTATTCAAGAAGCGTCCATTCATTTCCATAAAATTAGTTTTAAAAGGTATTGAAACAAATAGGAAACTCTAGTGAAGAGTAAATCTGGAAGTTTAAAAAGGAAACAAATAAACATACAGATGGTCAAACAAAGGATAACAAAAGCCACTGATTTTCAGTAACCTTTGATTAATTCGTTTGATTACGCAAAACCTCATTATACACAGCTGTTTCAGTTTATAAAACAATTAACCATTTCAGAAGTACACTCTTCTTGCCACCAAGTTTACTGCAACTGCGCATGCGATCAGGCCTCGAGATAAATAAATCTTTAGCTAACCTCAACTTTTAAGAACCTACTTGACAGGAATCAGTTTCCTTTCGACGATCCTCGAGCTCTAGTCTGTTGGATTTCTGAATTCCTCTGTCTATCTACGTTTTTATTTTTGTTCTTTGCCTGGAAATCAAATGAATACATTTTTAAACACTCGTAACTTTGTTTTTGTCAAATTTAATCTTGTTTCTCTGATTTTGTTCTACTTTCACACAACTCAGAAATTGTTAAAAAAGATGGATTGCTTTTTAAATTCAGGTGATATTTTGTCAACCTGTAGCTTGTGTAATAGAACCCCGGAAAAAACAATAATGATCGATCATCGAAAACTCACATTCCTTTTTAAATAAAATAAAAACATACTCGCGCTCATACTTCCATACATGCGCACACAAAGCATGGAAAGTGTAATGACTTTGTTTGAACGTGAAATGGCATAGCAATTAATTTTTAAGTTCATGGTGATTAAGGGGAAGTCAAACCTGGGGGCATTTCATGAAACAATTGGTCGGTAGTTTTCACCGAGGGGGACTGGTCACATACCCACGCCTATTTATCTATATCACTATTGCAATGCACATTTAAAACGGATATGGATTCAAAGTTCATGTGGGTTAACTTTGGATTACACTTTGATAAACCACTTTATAATGTACAGAGTCGATTAGAATTCGCGATAGAAAGAATTTGATAAGAAATTCAAGGTCTGAATATCAATTAGCATGTGCATCAGTAGTCAGTTTGTGATATACCATATAAAGTCAATACCTACCCAATAGAGAAATTATCCTGCAAATTCACTATCCTTTCACTTTCCTGACTAAATTGAAGAGGAAAACAAAGGTTTTATGTTCCTTTTCCTTCATGGGGTCAATGCAACGGTCATCCTTTCATTATGAGTTCAACTTACAGCTTTCAACTCTCAACCTGTTTGCAATCCCACGCTGAGCATAATTTTTTTTCTCTCAGATAGAGAATTGGCATGCACTGTGTGACGGATATATAATATGAGGGGGCAGCTAGAGGCATCCCAAGTACACAAGAACAAATAAGCCCCCCCCCCCCCGCCCTCTCGGATCCCTCTTTAATATTTTTTCTCTGAGAGCACCACAATGCAAAGTGTGATATGTTTATACCTCTTGCTCTTAATAATACCCCCCCCCCCCACCTCGCAGATTGACCCTATCCCCCTGACCAAATTCCTTGATCCACCCCTGGTATTTGTCCCAAGAGTAGTGAGTTGGATGCATGCTGAGACGCCAGACTTTATTTTTCAACAACGAGGGATCTCGTCTCATCGTGATTTACTACCCTATTTCTTTAAATAAATGGAAAGAAAAGACAGAATGGATTTTTTTTGTTTAAAGTGAAGGAGAGAAAAAATAACTAAAACTTGACTGTATGTAGATATGAAGATATGAGATATGAAGCTAGATATACTTAGGTTTAGTACAATTACTTATGCCATAAGTGGTATCAATAAGAGTTCAGTGTAAACAAAAATCAAAATTATTTGTTATCAATTACTTTAAATATACCCAATAGAGAACATAATGTGCATATCAAATGGCCTGTGACTGTACTCTCCTACACATCGTTCTACCAAGTGAACAGAGTGTGTTTCCTAAACCTGAGAATGCATCGAGAGCAGAGGAGGGCCGGGGGGGGGGGCGCCGGGTGCCACCTGCCCACCGCCTCCTCCGCAAATAAAGTTCATAATTCGAAACATTAAGACTAGCTAGGCGTATGTTAATTGTAGAACTATATCACGGACTTGTCTTATCTAAACTTGACATTAATTGTTCTAGTATTACTGATAAAGTTCAGGGGCATAAGTCAACTAAAACATGTGAATGTTTGTGTTGACATTAAAAAAGATCTCCGTCAACATGAAAGCGCTAATACTTACCTTTTGCGTGACTTGCAAGCACAATGTCTTTAAAAAAAAAGATCTAGATACACATCAACTTTAAAGTGAAGAATGTCGGAACAGATGTTCTAAATTTCAATAACAATTTCCCATAATCAGTTGAAGGTCATCATGCAGGTCACCTTTGTTATTCTCTTCCATTTCTTAGCCCTTTGTGTGGTTAAAATGTCGTTTAAATCAGTGAAAATATCTGAATTTACGAGAAGAATATTTTCGTCTATTCATATGGGACTAAATTACATTTGTCAATACCTATTGTGCCTCTAGCTTGATAAAAACTAACTAAGATTTTGGAGGATCAAGGCATTCTGTCGAATATTCGATCACTTCTCGTTGTTTTAAAAGATGAGCTGGATTTGTTTCATCTCCAAATGCTCGCTGTTTCAATTTCCATCTGATGTAGCATTGATCTAGTTTTCATTTTTATCACCATCACCATCGTCATCACATCCTCTTCCGCTTCATCCTCCTCCTCCTTCTCCTCCTCCTCCTCCTCATCCTATTCATCATCATCATAATCATCATCATCATCATCATCATCATTATCATCGCCATCATCATGATCGTCATTCTCATCATCATCATCAATTATTTTACTAGTGATGTAAGAAGTACTCATATATTTACACATAATAATTAAGAGGGCGTGGTAGTGATGAATTAGGAGTGTGGTATAGGGGGGGGGGCAGGAGACAAGTTAAACCCCCTCCAATGATCATATTTGATGTTGGGTGATTTTAAATGACACATTTAAAATGTTGTTGGCAATACATAAAAGCTTTTGTACAGAATATACTCAAACACGAACTATAATATAACAAGAATAAAGGAGAATTGGCACTCGTTAAGAATGTAAAGTCAATTACAAAAAAAAGAGAATGATATTCTAATAGGCTTTTCGTATGGCAATTGGCCAATCGGAGTATTCAATTGTGATAGGTTACTTATTACTACAAAATACATCTATGAAAAGGATTCCCGAGACAGATGAGTTAAAAAAATATTATTTCAGGAGTTATAATTGGGAAGTTTGTAAGATGGCGATGGGGGAATAAGTATACATCAATATAACAATAAACATTTTTCTTTTTTTTCTTTCTAGTTTCGTCACCCAATTGGCTTCGTGATCGGGTTTCTGTCCCAGTTCATTACCATGCCTCTTATATGCTTCCTGACCTCCCTCGCTCTCGGGCTCGAGACCCCTTTCGCTCTCGGTTTGCTCATCATCGGGTGCTGCCCCGGCGGGACGGTGTCGAACCTCTTCACATTCTGGACTAATGGCGACGTCTGTCTTAGGTACGATCACGGGATGTTCAAGTCGACGACGCTACTGCTGACGATGCTGATGATGCTATGGTTATGGTGATGATGGTGGTGGTGATGATGATGATTATGATCATGATGATGATATACATGTACTTAATGATAAAGGTGATAATAATGGCGATTATAAGGGGTAATCCGGGCAGTAATGATTATGATTACAATGCCACATATTATAGTGATAATGATAATGATAATGTAATGGTGATGATGACGATGATGATGGAGATGAGTTTATGATAATAATGTTGATGGAAATGATGATGATGATGATGATGATGATGATGATGATGCTGCTGCTGATGATAATGATGATAACATTAAAGATGAAAGTGATGATGTGATATTTCCAATAGCGATCTTGTCCTAATATCTTTCTCACATGTTGTTTTCTTCGCGTCAACCAGTGTGTGTATGACGTCGGTATCGTGCGTGGCTGCGATCGGGATGATGCCGCTCAACCTCCTCATCTACTCTCGACGATGGACATCGGAGCAGACCAAAGTCCCATTCATGAACATCTTCACCACCCTCGTCACCATCATCGTCCCCGCCATCGCTGGCATGATCGTCAGAAGATACAGCGTCAAATGGGCTAGTAGAGTCTCACAGGTAGGAAAATAGAGAAGGTCCACCAGCGTCGATCAGACATCAATGAGCGTATAATATTTCAAGCACAAGCACTATAATCTACATTTGCCACTCTCTTCCACGGTGACTCCTGTTGAAGTAAATGGGTATTCCCATCAGTATATGAAGATTTGTTGTTGATCGAATGCCTTATCTGGGTTACTTGGCTCGACCTGGGAAAAAATAACCTTGTAAAAATACATAAAAACATTATAGTATCAAGCGCTACATGTAAACATAACTATCATTTATTGTCAAATGTATTACATACAAAATAGGAAGGCCTTTACTTTAACGGGCGTCAATTTCGAAATAGCTAGTTGAAGTGGTCATGTTATTCCGTTGGCCGACATAGGGCTAAAGAAAATTTCGGAACCTCGAGTTCTTTTCATTGGTTAATAAAGGGCTTACGGGGCTGTTATTTGTGTATACCAGAGATATTATTATTATCTTTAATTGTCTATAACCCTTAATGGCTCTAGTTCGGAAGTATCATGGGGCTTGCGACGATCCCCGTCTCGATCTCCCTGATCGGCATCATCAACCCGGGTATGTTCTCTGCCAGCTGGAAGATCTGGACTTCGACCACAATTCTCCCCTTCGTGGGCTACTTCTTCGGATACGGCGTTGGACGGATCTGCCGACAACCCACCTCCAAATGCAGGACCATCGGCTTCGAGACCGGGATACAGAATTCGGCGCTGGCCGTCACGATCATGCTCCTGACTTTCGCCGACTCGGACCTGCTTTACGACATGTTGACTGTTCCGTGCTTCTACGGTATCATCAGTTTCGTCGATTTCCTTTTCTACGTCGCGTTCTTCCGTGCCAGGATGCACTATCGACGACGCAATGCACCGACAAAGATGGACGAAGACGAAGGCGAAGGAGGAGACACTGATAAGGATGAGGTGAATGAGAAGGGGAAAGATGTCGACCAGGATGGCCATCATGGCAACGGCATCCAGATCAAATACCAGCCAATACCTGATGACGTCACTGGCACGTTGACAGCTAACGGAGAAAAACAGCCAAACAAAAATTCGGATAAAAAGAACAATGAAATCAAAATAACTATAAATGGGGATTACCAGCTTCTTAAATCAAATGACACCACTCATTACGAAAGAAACATGAAGATAATTGAGAATCCTATTGTTGATACAGTTGTTGTTCCTGCTGTATAAAGCAGTGCTCAGAATATTTTTTAGTTTTAAGATTTAACGGACACGTTTTGTTAAATACTTACTTTAAGCTCCCCAAGAAATGGTCACGTGGTACATGATGTAGAAAATGAATGCAAGAAACCTCAAGCCCTCGAACCCCAAAGTGCCCCAAAAAGACTTCCTGTTCATTGACGGGAGGGGGGGGGGGGGTTCTGATGTGATAGAGGGTAATTGGAGGGGGTAGGTAGGTAGGATATATATACATGTTATATCATATTCTTTTGATGATGATATATTTTATTGTTCAAGTTCTTCTTATATAGTTTTAAACGTTCCTTTTGATTGTTTTTATCACATTTGTACTCAACAACCTGAATATCATAGTATATATATATATATATATGTTATTTTTTGTATAATGTTTTCTTTTTCCATTCTACTGTTTCTACCTGATTTCTTTTTCTTCTTAATGTTATATTAATTACGTACTTGTTTAGGGGTCAACGTTTAACAAGGATAAAGGCCTTTTTTTGTTGACCCCTCATTCGACATAAATTTGCTTTCTTAACTAGTTTCCTTATTAATTTTATTGTATTCATATTATCTGTAATGTTACCCTATTTATATATTTAATTTTTTCAATACTCTGTATGTATTGTATATGTTTTTTTATGAAGAATGAAATAAATACCATACCATACCATACCATCTTACTCTCATTCTCTCTCTCTCTCTCTCTCTCTTTCTCTCTCTCTCTCTTGTTCTCCCTCCCACTCCCTACCTCCGCTCCCTCTCTCCACATCTTTACCTAATTTTCTTTCTGTTTTTGCCATTCGACTATTCTTCCTTCTCTTCATCAATATTATTGTACCTTTACTCATGTAGGTATGAGCAAGGTAGCTATGGGAGCGCACGCACGCATCATTCGCTCAGCCCCAAATTTAAAAAAAAAATGAGAGGAAAAAAAAGAAAGATGTATTATTATGTGTAGGGATCGGATTATGATAAACAGTTTGCTTTCATGAGTAGAGAGAGTCAATCATTAGGAATGGTGACACGATTAGTTGATGAGAGGATAGAGCATACCATGAAGGTACAATCATAAAGATAAAGCGAGATATACAGTTAGCAACTAAATTATTCATAACCCATGTAAATTTTATGTTTTTTGTGTTTTTCGTAACTCAATAATGCAAAGTTGACTGGTTGACTTAGGGCCCTTGTTGAAAACCTATAAATGTAAGCTTTGATAATTATGTCGTATTCTCATGAAACATAAATCAGAACAATCGCTTTTTCATATACTTAAATAATTGCAAACTTGGTTAGGGAATGATTTATTTAGTGGTTAACCTAAGTCTCATGGTGACCTTACTTATTTGATGTCTCGAATGCATTATCTGATAATGTTCTAAAGTACATTCTCTTATCTACTCTGAAGTATTCTGAGTGTATAAAATCTAATCTGAAGTACTAACTATGACGGGAGTAATAGGTAAACAATAATTGATTGGAAGTTGGTCGACCTTGTCCTTGTGTCCTTGACCAAATAAATTAAAGGTAATACAAAGTTTTGGGAAAATTTTGAAAATTAGGTGGACAGTGATTCTTTACAATGTTGATATATGTTGATGCCCCTGTGCAGGCGCGTACGCAGGATTTTTTCAAGGGGGGGGGGGGGGTTAACATTTTTAAATCGGGCCGAAAATTTCGCATCGACTCAGCCAGCCGCTGAATAAGCGGGGGGGGGGGGGGGTTAACCCCCCCCCCCCCCAAACACCCCCCCCCCCCCTGCGTACGCACCTGCCCCCTGTGGATGTATTATAAGCGCTAGAAATTTTAGCCCCTAAAACACTTCTGCTTCGAGAAACATTGAATTTTAAATAGCGCCTACGGCCGTACAATGTCAATGGTAGCTGCGACCATGACAATCTCAGAATATGTAGTTGTGATATGTAATTTCCAAACGGGAATAGGTAATTGGTCGATTTTAGTCAAGAAACATTGTTTGATAGCTTAATTAATAATCTTGACCTGGAGAGGGATTTTGAGTTTATTATTTACAATTTCATAACTTTAAACTCGATTTTAACCGCGACAACGATCACTGAATATTGTAGGATCACATATGCTTCCAATATATTCATTTGAACCAAATTCATGACCCCATACCAAAACTTGTATTACTTTTAAAGTACGTCGTAGCCATTACTTGATAATGGGCAGTGTGTCTCTTATCTGGAAAGAATAATGTAATGTTGTGAATAAGGAGACCATAAAGTGAACATCGTTCATCATTACTTGGAAGGTGTAGAGTCGTATTTTTGAAGAAAGTTCAAATGTTGTAAAAATTGTAACTTCCTGTTTTCTTCCTGTATAGGTATTGATAAAGTATTGATAAATTATTGATGAATTTAAATGTTGATGTTATCGTCACATACCAGGATCAAAGTGAGTGGAATAATAAGAAAGGATCCCTCGCACATTCTTACTACTCCGCTCGGTCGCTTTGCCCCCCCCCCCCCCAATTGTAAGACCCATGTCCAGTGCCTCCGACCCTCAATTGACTGGACCCAAACTACGCGCTATATATATATATATATGCCACTAATGTTTATGAAGAATAACGTTATGTAAGCATTATGACAATATATAGTATATTTATGTATACTACATGATTCGTATACAATTAAGGGTATATTTGTTTATGCCGTATATCTTGTCTTACTGAACTACATATTTGTTTTATCCCCGTGTTTTAATATCACTATGCAAAAATAAATCACTTTTGATATACTGCCATTATCACAGCACGAAATTGCCTCTGTCATTATTTACTTGACGTTTATTAAAAGAGAATTCCACCTTGATACTAAATCGCCACTGCACTATATACTTATAGCTACGTGCGCCCTCTATATAGCAAACAATGCCATATTGGTGACCTTCCCCCATGGCCATGATCCTAGCTTTTCTTATGTTATAATTGAGAGCTGATTTGATGAGATAACCACCTGTCGGTGACCATGCAGGGAGGTCTAATCCCTCCTGGCCAAACTAGTGCAAAGGGGCTTTAAATTGGTTTTTAGTAGAAGCAGAAAAATAAGAAAAACAAGTCAGAGAAAGCTTGATGTAAAAACCGATTAAAAATATGAAAGTTGACAAATTGGGAACTCCGTGAGGTATCTTGCGAGCTCCCTCCAATTTACCCTGTATAAAAAAAACGTTAACAAATTATATATTCCTTTCAGACATTTGCTAACATACACCCACAGTATCCACATCTATCTATGTCACTGGAGCTATCTCACTCATACTTTCTCCTCAAAACTTCTTTTTATCCCATTTGAACATTCGAACTGAAAAAATATTGAAAATTTATTATGGGGTGTATTGGATCATTTTCGCTTGTCCCTTTCTGACCCTCTCTCTCCCACTCCCTCTCCCCTATTCCATTTCCACACTCTCTCTTCCTCCTACTCCCTTCCTTTCTTTCCCAGTTCAGTTCTCTCTCTCTCTCTCTCCCTTCCTCCCCTCTCTCCCACCCCTTCTTTCTCTCTCTCTCTCCCCCCAAACCCTACTTTATCCCTCCCTTCCTCTCTTTCTCACTTGCTTCCCGTCTTTTCAGTTCCCTCCCTCTCTCTCCCATTCCCTCCTCTCTCCCATTCCCTCCTCTCTCCGTTTCCTCTTTCACACTCATGGTTGCTCTTTGATTAATACAACTATTTAATCCATTTTGGGGGAAGTTTCAATCATTCATTCAATGTTCCTCTCAAAGAGCAATCAATGAAAACATCCGCAAAATACACAATAGACGTTCATTTATATACATGTAAGTTCAGATGATCTGTGAGATTGAGGGTTGCATGGTGGTGTGTATACATTCATAAGTTTGTGGTTTCACCATCTGGGTAATCCTGAAAAGGAGTGTTGGGTTTATATTATCTTTAAAAAAAATCTTCTTCCAAATCAAACAGTCCTTTGTAGGACTACCCTCATGGCGAGACCACAAACTTACAAATTTGAATAAGTTCATATGCCTAAAAATGCAAGTTTTATTATCAATGGAAGTTGATTAGCTGATTCAATGTCAAGGTTACTTGCACAAAGACCATTGTGTAACTTCTCTATCGTAAAAATAGGCTGATACTAATCCACAACTTGGTTGCCAATTTGCATTCAATTAAACTTATAGCTATTGATTATTAATGGCCTTGATCATGAACTTTTGCTTGTGTAACCAAAACCGCAAACTTGTTCATCTTCCTGCACTGATGGTCCATAATCTTTTGAGACATATGAAATTTATTTCCATTATTCAGTATTTCAAACAACCAAACTCCCAGGCACCAAGAATAAAGAAATTCATGAATATTCCATTCTCAATTTAACAAATATTTTAATTGGTAAATTTAGCTTATTGAGATATAAGTGCAAGAAATTTGGTACACACTACACAGTATTAAATCTTTAAGTCATGTAGCTAAGGAATGAAATAATCTTTATATACATGTACCAAAACAAATGAAGATGTCAGTAACAAGATTTCAAATCATGATAAATTTTATCTAGTTTGTCTTTTGAATATTTGTGGATGAGGAAAAAAGGAAATGAATGTACATGGTATACACTAAATAATTTAACCAAAGACAAAAAACATCAAAGACAAACAAATAATATTCATTATAAGAACGTACAAGCAACATACCAAAAAGGACAAAGAAAAGAAGACAAAAAATTGAATAGCAAAACAAACTATGAGCTCATGATTTTTTTTCAAAATGGATAATGATAATGATGTACAAGAGTGACCAGTACACTATTGTACTGCATATTATCCAGTGCTACCGTGTACGTGTTGAACAATAACATCAAAAGTATTTAAAACTGTGTCAGAATACAGATGTACTCTAATGGCATTGTCAGTTTGCTACATTAATTTAAAAAGACAATGATACAAACAATCACCGAAACAACATTGACAAAAAAGTGCTCACAATTATATTAAAAAGGTATTACCCTAAGACAAGTAGTTTTATCAAGCATACTTATGCAGTGAAATTGGGTGCACAAGACAGAATCCCTGTAGATTTTTATTTTCATACATCAAATCAGGGCCATATCTTATAAACAATTGCCATTATCCAAATTAAGTTATGTCCAAGATAAATTGCAAGAAAAATTTCCGCAAGTTACGGGAAAAAAAGAAGAAGAAGAAGAAAGAATAGGTGCCAGTGGCATATTAAAAAGAGACTATGACTGTTAACTCTTTATATGTGGCACAAATAATCTTCCTGTGCCACAATAGCATTTAAAGATCTAACTTGTCTAAAAAGAAATTGAAATACTTTTGCTAGCCTAAAGAGAAACAAAATATTGAATAAATGGGAACATTTAATGAAACATTGTGACAAATGACAATTCTATCTGGATTTGTCCTTCCATTGTGGCACAGGTAGATTACTTGTGAGGCATTGAGTTAACTTGTCTAAATAGAAATTGAAATACTTTTGACTAGCCTAAAGAGAAACAAAACGTCGTATAATGGGAACATTTAATGAAACGTTGTGACAAATCTATCTGGATTTGTCCTTCCTCTTCCCTGACTTCCTTGCTGATTGTGTCGTAGTTTCTGCTGGCGGCGCGATGGTTGCTTGTTGTTGAGGCTTCTGCCATGCGACTGGATTTCTCCTGTACATGGGCCAGGGTGGTAAGGTCAACTGAAAGACACAACAAAGACGCGACAAAGACATAATTATGGATCGACTCTAGGATGGTTCTACGACACATGCTCCACCAAAAATTCCTCCGCTGTCAATATCCTATACATCTACTACCAGTAACTAAATTTTGAACTTAAAGACCGTCAATACTACGGAGCCAGAAGGGATAAGACCACACAGCGAGGTCACTGACAGGTGGCTATCTCATTAACTCAGCTCTCAACTAACATAAGAAAAAGAGGATCATGGGGGACCAACAGGCATAGATTGGGGAAGTTTTCTATATAGAGGGAGCAAGTAGCTACAAGTAGGACAGTGGGGCTTTAAACCTAACCATAACCATAATCCTAAACCAAACCTAAAACCTAATTGAAACCCTTACCCTAACCCTTTATCCTTGGCAATGCAACACACAGTGTTGTCAGAGCATGGGTCACAGCACTTTTGGGGCTAAAACGAAATTTATGATTGAGCAGAACTTGTTCATGGTGTGCGACTGTGCATATTGCGAAACGATTCTAAATGATCTGAAATCTAAAATCTTCTTCTTCTTCTTCTTCTTCTTCTTCTTATATTCCCTTAGAGTTGGATAACAGCAGCAGTTTGCTCAGAATCAGAATGGTTGCTTACTTACAAGCATACACATGCTTTCTTAGCAGTCAAGTAAAAGAAACCATCAAATCAGACCAAATCAATTAGTCTATTATGTGTCAAAGAGGAGAGAGCATGGGCCATGAATCAAATTTGGAATGTGTCACACAGTAAAAGTTGACTATTGAGCAATTGAAAGTGATGAAAGAAAAATGGGGGGAATGACACATATAGATAATGTAATAAACTTCTGATTATAAAAAATTCCCAAAAATTTACAACACTTTAATTTTTTAATCTGATTTCCTCAAAAATTCTCTGATATGTTACTCTGCTTTTATTAAATCCAACTTATGTCATGGTGATCTTCTTCTGTGAGTAATTTGTCTGTTGTAGATTAGCATAATTTGCATGAACTGGGGGGCATTTCACAAAACTTGTCATCAGTAACAAATGACAGTTTTTGTTATAAGCTACTGAAATCCTTGCTTCTGATTGGTTATCAACAGATTTTTCACTGGTTTTGTCATTTGTCATTGGAAAAAGGCTTTGTGAAATGGGTCCCAGATGTGGATTATTTAAAAATATCGTTTGGTACTTACTATACAGGAAAGAACAAAGCCAGCACCAAGTATGTAGACAGTCTGGACGAACTGCTCACAGACATAACCCCAGACGAACCCTACAACCTAGAAATGAATACAAAGTAGAAAGTAGCTCTTTACATGTATACATATGCCAGTAATGCCACAAAAATAACTGAGATAACTTGTATGTAATTGATCTTTATATTATGTTTGTCTGTTATTTGTTATACAAAATGCCAAATTGAATACTAATAATAATAACAATACCAGTAATCTTCCTTTGCCACATTGTATTTATCATGGGATATATATACCAAAGGCTTCCAGAATATTAATCTGTTTCCAGTGCAAGATTAATCTATACCAATGATAAGAGGGTTCTCATGAAGCTAATCAAGACTAGAAATGGGTAATTTTGTAAAGCCATTGTGTTGCATAAAGTAATCCTTCTGTCAACTAGTGCACATTGTATGTGCAAAATGCAGAGTGCAATAGGGCAATTCAGTTTAATGTGCCACATATCACATATTGATAATGTCTTTTAAACATATATTTTCGTAAAAAAAACAAAGAATCTTGTGATCGGACCATTGAATAAGGGTTCATTCTGGTATCACATTGCACCGATTCACAAAGAAGATAATTAGTTCTCTACTTTTCATTTTATTTCATTTTATTTCAAAATCACTTGAAAGTATAACCCTTTAGTTTAAACTTTCAACTTTGTGTCACTTTTTTTTAAATGAATAAAAATGTGAAGCCCTGACTTTTTGTTAGACTGATTAACATTAGATGTCTGATCCAGACAATCGTAGATGAGGCCCATAGATCATTCTACAAAAACTTTAACAAATCTCAATGAAGATGACTTACCCCAAACAGCATGATTATTGCCTGGAATATCTGCTCCGCTAGTTTCTGTCCCGTATAATCCTGGCGAAAAATAGAATTAAAACAGAAAAGGAAAGTATTTATCATGCTAATATGTACCTACAAATGTATCCCAAATGTCTGAAAAGTCTGAAAAACAATAAACAGTGAAGAGATAAAATTGCTGAATGTCATTAATATCAGACAATTAAGGGTGCTAGATCTAGTAATCTCTTTCTAGATCTGGCCAATACAGTAGACTTTTTCCTATTTAGAAGACTGTCTATATTGCCAGAGTTTTTGGTAGCCTATTTGGGAGACAGTTTCGCATTTAGGGAACAAAATTTACTTTCTTTACATCTGTTGCAGATGGAAAACTTTGGGTCAACTTGAACATGTGAAAACTACATTTCTTACAAAAATCACCTCTTTACATAGACCGAAAGCTTCAGTCTCTATAATCGTCGGTTGTTCCACTGAGACTACGTCTGGCTCCACTAGACCTCCGGTTATAGAGACTGAACGACTGCCTATGCCAGCCTGTGTTGAACTTATTCCGCTAGATTTTAGCCGCTAGGCCCCTCCCACAAACTTGCCACGGCCGTATTGTTATGCCCCCAAAATCCCCCAAAATGTCATTTTACCTCGTTCATTTCCAATTTTAAATTAGGCCTAGGCTATAATACATCGGTTCCACTTACTAACTCGATTGATATAATCCGTTTAATGGTCCCTTTTAAGGAAATTATCGGTCAAAATCGACATCCATGTTGAAAATCTTGTAAGCCGTGTTAAACTCTCGCTGCCGTCAATCTCATCCCTTCTAGTCTACGCCGAAGGCAAAATGATTATGAAGGAAAAACTGTGATAACGCCATTACGAACGTGTAGATGGCGCACAGTTTTTCCTTCATAATCATTTTGCCTTCGGCGTAGACTAGAAGGGATGAGATTGACGGCAGCGAGAGTTTAACACGGCTTACAAGATTTTCAACATGGATGTCGATTTTGACCGATAATTTCCTTAAAAGGGACCATTAAACGGATTATATCAATCAAGTTAGTAAGTGGAACCGATGTATTATAGCCTAGGCCTAATTTAAAATTGGAAATGAACGAGGTAAAATGACATTTTGGGGGATTTTGGGGGCATAACAATACGGCCGTGGCAAGTTTGTGGGAGGGGCCTAGCGGCTAAAATCTAGCGGAATAAGTTCAACACAGGCTGGCATAGGCAGTCGTTCAGTCTCTATAACCGGAGGTCTAGTGGAGCCAGACGTAGTCTCAGTGGAACAACCGACGATTATAGAGACTGAAGCTTTCGGTCTACTCTTTACACTGCTTGCTAATCCTGCTATACATTTTAAATTTTATGATCCATACACGTTACAAATTCTGGAGGCCTTTTCTCAGGAACTGTTTAGAGTCTTTAAAGGGATCGTTTAACAATGCAGGCCTTAAATTAATCGACGGCCATCGACGGCCAGGCCGTCGATGCCCCTATGACTGGCCGCGGTGCCCTCCCAAAAAAAGATAAATTCACGGCCAAAAAGGCCGTGCCCTTTTTTTCAAACTGGCCGACGTGCCTTTTTTCCAACTGGACGTGCCCTTTTTTTTTTAAATTTGCGCACATAAAACCACCAATTGCGCTTAAAACTAGACGGCAAGGCGCAAGTGTTTTCCGTGAAAATGCGCCCATAAATTATTAGAACAGAAAAAATACACGAATCACGAACAGTTTGCCGCCCACGAGCTCTCTTCTAGCTTCGTATTTAGTGCTTTAATAAGGCGCAAGTGCCGTGAAAATGCGCCCTTTGTTATTATATAGGCAATGCGCTAGCGCACGCACGTTCATGCGATCGCATGATATGCATATGGTGCATGTTGTTGACGCACGCACGTACGTACGTACAAATCAAAGGCCAGGGTGCAGGATCAAGAAAAAAAATCGTCAAATGGAGAAATAAACAAGCATTCAAATAGTCATTAGAGATCTGTCGAGGTTTGTTTGTAGGTCTAGTTTATTATTTTATCTCAAATAGAATTTAGAATTATCTTATTAATAAGTTAAGAACACCTACGATGTTCTCGATCGTAATTACTCTCATTTTGCCACCAGCCGACCTCGCTTCAAAAAGCTACCCCGCCAGCCTCCCAAGACGAACGTTTCGAGTCGTTAAAATTACGCGCTGCGAGTCTCCGAGGGTGCATCGGTTTCGCTGGCAAACTTCCAGCCCGACAGCTTCCCACCAAAAGTGGCGAGAGTGTGTGTGCGAGGAACGATTTTGGTTTCGTGATTGCACGTTACGCAACTGAGCTGAGCGTGTCATTTTCAGCTGTCGAATGTCTATAAGGACATTTTTACATCTTATTTCATTAGTTAGGCCTATCTAGACCTTTCTATAACAGTTAAAAAGATAATTTCTTCAAATTTGCTCCTACTACCGAGAGAGTGGCGGAAGGTTTGTGTGTGAGGTGCGATTTTGATTTGGGATACCCGGCCCGGTAAACTTGCCAAGTCCTTCTGACTTTCGATGTTTGTGAAATTGACAATTTATTTATTCATTTGCTCATCAATATTTTTAGTTACTTTAGAATACTGTTTAATGTGCAAGTTTCATGTTCTTAATCAATCTTTCCTGTTCATATTGTTAAGATTAAAAAGTTATTAAATTGATCGTTCGATCTATTCACATTATGAAATTAACAACTCTCTTTGAACTTATGATTAGATAAGGGGCCTATCTGTTTTTGGAAAATTGCCCCTTGCTCTGGTAAATTCCTGTGGCAAAGGGCGACTTAAAAAAAAAATTGCCCCTTGCTCCTGGCTGCTAAATCTAAGGCTTGCGGGCCGCCGCCTTGTTTGTATGTACCGTAGACCTCTATACATTCTGTGAAGAAGCTGGTGCTAAAAGTCATGGGAAATTGATCCCACACAAGTTTCATAAAATACACATGACATCTAACAAAAGTAGAAACAATTTGTTTGACCTCATACTCGATGCCCTTTTTGTAAAATATTTTGGCCTCGATGCCCTTTTTGTAAAAATATTTTGGCCTTGGTGCCCTTAAAAATATGAGGTACTCGAGGCCAAACTGGCCTTGCCCTAAAAATGACGAAATTTAAGGCCTGCAATGTATAATCTGAGATACACGGCCCTATGTGTTATCAGTGTCTGAGATATGGTATAATATTGAAGCCCTAAAAAAATGGCGCTTCAAAATGATCAAGAAGTGCCTCAAAAAAGTAAAAATCTTTGAATGACTGGTTTTACCATACTCGTTTTCCCCAATAGACTGCAGTGTATTTGTAATTCCAATCACAAATATCTTGATAATCAGACAGGCAATCGGCTTGTAAAATTCTCGGGGTTCCTGACTGACCTTAAGGTTTATATTTATCATCGTAGCGTGAGCTAAATCCAGAATTTTGTTTCAGAATCTGAGACAAAGTTACCGGATCCCTTATCGCTATAACTTCTTGGACATCCCATTGAAACATGTGTTTCTAAGCTGTTCATGAGTTTGAGATTAATGATGGTTTTGAAAAACTGGCCAAAAGACCAGCATGCATGTACGGAAGCATGTAAGTACTCGAGGTAGTCCGAAATTACATCTAAGAGGTCAAAATTGTGGCATTTCGATTAGGGAGTATTGGCAATAGCAAGAATTTGCAAATACAAAAACGAAACCAAAACAAAGAGGAAAAAACACAAACCACGGCCACCATCGTCAATAACCCGATACAAATGACAAAACAAAGCAAAAAAACACTGGAATTTTTGCACACTGTATTATAAAACTTACACATTAGCGTACCGTACAAAAGTTATAGAGGTCTACCGGTACGTAGTTCTAAGTCAAAGTGAAAAAAACAATTCCTCTCATCTCATTCACATGATTCAGTCATTGTGCTAAAACTGGGTAAAAACACAAACTCATATCGCTTAAGGTGGGACCACACTAAATGACTAATTCAATTTTTGCAAACTTCCTTACCATATGGGTTGGTATGCTGTCCAAGAATCCCATTTTAAAGTCTGTGATGATGGTCTCTAGAATATTGAAAATTCGTGTAATAATTGCTAATCCTGGAAGGCAAATATTTCACCTTTGATGGTATTTTTCATGAAAAATCATAAACATACGTGTTCTTCCCGGCTGCTAAATTATAATCCTGTAGCGCCATCTACGTTCCTATATAATTTCCAGATCATGAAAAAATGAAAACACTGTGTGTGAATTTTCTCGCGCGAACGATTTTCACTTGTTTGTTGCGAAATCAGCCGTACTGTTGCCGCCGATCTCAAACTTAGTTTGCTATGCCAACGTTTTTATCTAAAATTGTTTGTTATTAGGGAGAAAACAGCTATTGAAATGCCAAGCAAATCGGCTTCAGACAAAGAAATTTGGCGATGGACAGAAACAACCTCTCCAGACGAAGTGACGGAGGAGCATGTTCGGGTCGCTTATCGTGTGAATCTCCCAATTTGTTCAACGTCGTGCAGGTAGGCTAAATGCATTCACACAACATTGTAAAGAAAACTCAGTCATGATCATGTCCCATGACAAACTCAAACTCATTGGTTTAGAAAATGGGTGGGGGCAGTGCAGTGAGACTAAGTAAGAGAGATGTTTTTGTGTTGTTAAAGCGCTAAGGTGGTACATTAATTACTTTGAAAAACTAAACTAAACGGGAGCCAGGTGCTGGTCCGAGAATAAGGATCATCCGCACAAACGAGGATCGTCTTCGTAAATTTGTAAACATGGACAGCAGTGTAGAGTTTCATGAAACCGTCATAAGTACAAGTTCAACGACATCCCATTGAAACGTGTGTTAAACTTAATACACGCGTTTCAATGGGATGTCGGTGAACTTGTACTTAGACTAGATCTATGACGGTTTCGTGAGACGCTGCCCTGAGCTAGAGTCTACCAAGTATCACGCATTAGGCTTGACGTCACGAATTTCGAGGGTCTGAAAATGCTCTTATGCACGACGCGCGCTAGATTTTGAAAAAACGCTATACCTTATAGGCCTACGTGTGTTATAGTACCCTCGCACGCGCCGAATCATGAAAATGTCACGCATTGCTGATCTTTGAACTTGGTGTCTCTGGGACAGACGTGTCCGCATTTTGACTGACCATTCTTATTTCCGATCCGGAAGACTAAAGCGATAAATCCTTGGGCTTGGGATTGAAGGATGGACAACCCATAAAACTAGCTCATTCATAGATGGTGAACTGGGGGTATTGTTTTACGCTGAGTCCGTTTTCGCATCGCCAGTGCATGGATCGGGAACCCGAAACCAGCAGAGCGCCGAAGAAAACAACTTCATCTTTCCCATCGCTCTCAGCTCACCTCCCCTGCCCATACTTGACAAAAGTCTCTGAAATTTGAGACAGTCTCCCATATTGGCAGTGCATCTCAAATTTCATAGGTCTACTCTTTATCTGTAGCCAATAGTATGTGAATAAAGTCTTTTGATGTTGATTAAAGTATACATTCTAGCTGTACACAAATTAATTTTTTTAATGATCTGTATGCTCAAAATCTTATGTCAGATCTACTTGTCATTTATGATTTATCATGTTTCTTTCTTGTCCAGACGAAACTGCAAAGGCAATCCCAACTGCCTGGTGAATCTGGGCGAGAAGGAATGGCTAAAGGAGATCAGAGATGAGCACTGGTATCAGATGGATGACCCCGAAGAAGAAAAGAGAACAAAGGTCAGTGACTATAAAGCAATTGAACTATGTTTTTAGTAATGCAGGGGCCAATCTTAAAGAGAGTTGCTATTTATCCAAATCAATCACACCTTGCAAGTTCTCCAATCAATCGCAAGTTTCCAGTCCTCTATCACATACATGTGTTGCTTATTGATGTAAGCGTATCAGGACAATTACCCCCTGGGCAATCACAATGTGAGCAATCAATAACTTTGAATATATGCACAAAACAGTAAATAGAGTACAGGGAAAATACAGTGTGGGTATTATGTTTACTTCCGGTTATTGATGAACGGTGTGTTCAATTATATATTAGAACTCAAATTATTCATCAGTTAAATTATATAAGTTATATATTCTAAAGTTTCACAATTTATCTTGTATGCTATTTTGTCCTTTTTTCAGGAGGACTTAGTCGGATTGAAAAATCTTGGTGCAACGTGTTATGTCAACACTTTCTTACAGGTAGGTAAATAAGCAAGTACTAGTGATAACCTTTGAGAAACCTAAAAAAAAGAATGAGTTCAACCTGATTTAGCCAAATTGAATTGCTTTCTTGAAAGTTGTGTGTAAAAGGCTTGAAGCCTTTTTTCAGTGGATCAGCTGTAATATATTTTCTGGTGTATCAGTGGGGTAACAATTTTTAGCAGTAACAGTTAGTGGTCCTGGGGGTGTTTCATAAAGCTGATCGTAAAGTTACGCATGACTTTACGAACAACTTTATGAAACACCCCCCAGCACTCTTACAGCTTTCCAGAGCCAAAGCATTCACTGTTTTAGTGAATTTTTTACACTGTGATATAGAGAATGTTGGAAGTGAGACAGTTTCAACAGGAAGAAATGCATAACAATTGTAACATTTGATCCTGATGCAGCAGCTTTTGTATGTTGACCATTTTTTCTGATTCAATCTTTTATTCGTGTATGGTTTTCTTTCCTTTCTTTTACAAATTCTTGTTAGGTTTGGTTTCACAACCGTCAATTTCGAGAAGCCATTTACAAGTGGAGGCCGTTGGATAAAGAATGGGGAAAAGATCAACCGCTTGAAGGTAGGAAGAAGTGTTCCATTTCATAGCCCCCCTCCCCCTTTCTTTTAAAGTCCTGATTATATTATTATAAACACAAAAAATAGAACATAAGGGTTACAGGCTTGGGAATGGAGTAGAGAGCAACTAGTTTTTGGGAAGTTAAAGTGTTACATTTTGAAATGTTTGTTTGTTCTGAGTATGTGACGTAAATTATTGAAAGAGACGGTATGGAGAGGTACAGGATGAACAAATATTAAAAAAATAAGAAAGGAATAGTTTAAGAGTCAGATTACTTTTCTTGTTCAATCTCATTTGTTTTGTTCTTGGATGTCGATGGTGATGACGATTATGTTGATAATGATGGTGATTGTGATGATGAATGATTGTTTAATGATAACAATTTACATTGACTGTTCATGTGATCTCTTGAAATGAAGCCTTACTGCAAGTACTCAAAATCGTTTTTATCTTTTATCGTTATTAGTCTGGTGTTTCAGCTGCACTTCCATAATAATCTCTAAAACCAATGTCAATATGTGGTCACCTACAACTCCTCTTTGTATTGCTACAGTTTAGCAAGAGAATTACTATATAAAATTATTATTTACTTGTTGTTAGTGTTGTTGTTTTTACTTTGTAATTAATGTTTTATTTTATGTTTATTATGATTTCAGATGGAGTGTTGGCTGCCATTCCCGACGAATCTCTACAACCAACTTCAATATGTGGTCACTTACAACTCCTCTTTGCATTGTTACAGTTCAGCAAGAGAAGGTATGCCCGATGAGTCACTGATACATAGTAACAATAGTAATGATATTATGTTTTTATTTACCCAGGGTATATAATACCTTGTCAAAGGATGCAAAGATCATACACTAGACCAGTGCTCCCACCAAAAATTAAATAAAGATATGTATCAGTGGATCAATAAATACATACTGATAATATATAGAAGGATAAATTATATATAGATAGATAGTAGATTGATCGATATAAAGCTAGCAAGAGTGTTAGTTGATTGATTGATTTATTGATAAGTTGGTCTAAAGATTCTTAGTAATTGCAAGAAGGTATGGAAATGTTTAGTCAGGATAGTCTAGTTGTAAAATAATTTTTCAATAATTTGGACTACAGTCTTTCTCCTAGGGAACTACTTCCTCTTCTTTTTTCAAACAGGATTCTGAAATTCTGCCCCAAATCCTCTCCTCCCACCCCCATTTCTCTCTTCCCTTTAAGATTTCATTGAGTGATTGTGTCTGTTAGTCTGAAAGTGTAATTGATGTTTATTTTTCAGGTACATTGATCCTTCAAATTTCATCAATTGCCTGGGACTGGATGCAGCTCTACAGCAGGTACTCCTATTTCTTTCACACATTCTTGTAATTTAACATAGTGCAGATAAATATTGATATCCGTTGTTCGGTAGTGAAATTTACAATCATAGCTATTAATGGTTATTTATTTTTAAAGATGAAATATTAGCCACCTGTAATGTATTCTCATTTTCTCTGAACGAATCATTTTTCAGTGGCAAAGTTGTTCAAGCTGGACATTTCTTATTTTAAAATATATATTCATCTAAAGCAAAGATGGGGTTGCTTTTATGTTTCACGATTAAATGCATCGTTTAACAATGTTAAATCTGAGATGCACGGCCCTACGTGTTATCAGTGTCTGTAATATGGTGTAATATTGAAGCCCCCCCAAAAAAATCGCGCTTCAAAATGATCAAGATGTGCCTCAAAAAAGTAAAAAATCTTTGAGTGACCAGTTTTACCATACTCTATTTCCCCAATAGACTGTAGTGTTATGAAAACTGTTGGTTTTGATTTCCAATCATAAATATCTTGATAATCTGACAGGAGATCGGCTTGTAAAAGTCATGGGGTTCCTGACTGACCTAAAGGTTTATAATTATGATTGCAGCATGAGCTAAATCCAAGATTTTATTTCAGAATCTGAGAAAAAGTTACTGGATCCCTTTAAATCATGTTCATCCCTTCTTGACCCTTGTTTCAGGACGCTCAAGAGTTCAGCAAGCTTCTGATCTCCTTGCTGGAGGGCACACTGAAAGAACAACCTAATGCTCGGGTACGGAACGTCATCGAGCAGCAATTCAGCGGACAATATTCATATGTTACAAGGTAAGAAAACAGTGCTGTGACATATATCTCATAAGTTCAACTGAACGACAATTTTCTGAATAGTGTGTACCCGTATTGCATGTACATGTATATTATAATCATCTTTTCAATATGTTGTTACACTCTTTGTAAAATGAGATATTGTGGACACCAATAAATTATCTTATCTTTCTATCTATTATGGTCTGATGACATTTTCTCCAGGCTATATCTTGTTAGGGTAGGGGTTGTGAGAGCACAAATTATGTGACAAAGTAAGCTGAAAGAATTACCCTTTGCCTCGGTTAGGAACGTCTTCAAGCAGCAATTCAGCGTCCAATATTTATATGTTACAAGGTAAACAGGGAATATACTGTCCTGACTTGTGTTTTACTTAAAAGTTGTTTGTTTACATAATCTATGTATATTAATGTGTGTGAAATTTAAAGTAAACCCACTTATTGCATTCAATGCGTTTTATGGAAATTGTGTATTGCACCTTTTCATTTCATGATCAATGTTATGTTTCATGTTAAAACAATACTTCACAGACAGACCTGCAAATTTCATTAATCTTTGAAGGGAAGAGAGGGCCTAAACAGATTTCAAGTCTGCTAATATTTTTGTTGCTATTATGACAGGTGCAATCACTGTGGCAACTGTTCTGAGAGGCCGTCTAGGTTCTACGAGCTCGACCTCAACATCAAAGGTCACAAACAGCTGGAAGACAGTCTGAGTGAGTTTCTGAAGGTAAGTGTCATTCCTCTTGGCTGACATGAGTTCTCAGAAGTTCTCAGGAGAATGAAATGGTTACTACCTGTGTTCTTGCTAGTACGTAATAATAATACATATCATTTATAATGCGCCAAATCCACTTGACAGTCAAATGCTCAAGGCGTAGGGGATTTCAGAGAAAATGAAGTTCCTAGGGCAAATTCTTCTTGACAAGGGTACTGACAAGGGCAATAAATTTGTTGATGTTTACTCCCCAAAATAGCTTGGAACTACAAACATCTACAAGGCCCTGAAGCAGGTTCATCCTGAAACCGGTATCTCCAGTCGGGCCATGATCATCATGAACAGCTTCAGCAACTTAAACTTTTTGAAGAAATAGCTTTGATTCTCAATATAAGTGAAAATCTTCAACTTCACAATATGATTCAAATACTTCAGCAAATTTGAAATGATTTGACATTGTATGGAGTGAATGCTTATGAATGAGTTCTTACCCTGTTGATTTTGTTTCTTTTCAGGAGGAGAAGCTAGAGGGCGCTAATCAGTATCTTTGTGAGAAGTGTAACTGTAAGAGGAATGCAACAAGATGCATTAAGCTTCAGACTCTGCCACCGGTACTCAATATCCAACTCTTAAGATTTGTGTTTGACAGGTAAGCATTCATACTTGTCATTCATGCTTTCGAGTAATATCAATTTCAATTGTTTTTGTCACCCCTGACCAGCAGATTGAATCCCTCTCTCTCTCTCTCTCTCTCTCTCTCTCTCTCTCTCTCTCTCTCTCTCCTCTCCACTTTCATAAAACTGTTTGCAATCTCGGCATGTATTATGAAATTTCTATGTATCATCTGATTGTTATACTCTATATGGTTTCTGATTGGTAAAATAGATAATGATAATAATGATAATAATTTGAAGTGATACACTTTGTGAATGTGTCATAGTTAAAGCTAATCTTGAGCTCTGGTATGGGCATCGTATGTCAAGAGAACATGGCTATGATTCATTCTGGCTTGTTTATCCTGCAGTACATTGTTTGTTTGAACCAGTAAAATAAAAAATAAATCACAAAATCTTGCTGGAAATCATCTTTAATAAAAGCCCAAACTCTCATTTGCACATTGTGACCTGTGTTAAGCCTACTTACCTTGATTTCCTTATCTTTTTATGCTCATTACTCAGCCCTGTACATTTTCTACCAAAATTGTTTGGCACATGCCATTTATTTGTAATCTTGAACATTCATTGTAAGTTTTGTTGAATTCTGTGAGATTTTATTTTCTATCATTCCCAGAACTCAGGCTTATCTTTAAGTGATTTATGCTCTTGATTGGATATAAGGTTTAAGCATCGTTTTCTGCTGGCATGATAACAGGGGTTATTATTTACCTTTCAAATAACTTCATCATTCTCGGTCAAATATCCTCAAATTTCACAGATCTGTGTCCTGATATCTGAACCTCCATATTGGTCAACTCTCTCTGATCAGGGCCCTGTCTCACAAAGAGTCGCGATTGATCCTACTCGATCGCGAGTCCTCCAATCAATCACAAGTTTGTAGTCTCAAATCTTTGTAAGACAGGGCCCAGGTGTTTTCCCCTTAAAATAATATTTCTGTATACAAATAATGAATTATCATTTAATTTGTTTTATTTATGATTTCTTTCTTCTCAGACATAGTGGAACGAAGAAGAAGCTGAACAACTTTCTACAGTTCCCTGAGGAGATTGACATGTCCAAACACCTTGCCAGGAGAGGTATCAATATAGTATATGAATTGCTTGCTCTGTTTGGGTGGTATTCTCGAAAGAGGACTAACTTTAGTCCATGGTTTAATCCACCTACTAAGTATGGAATTCCAAATGTCCATATGACATTTTTTTTGGAATAATTTAATCTGTCACTAAATCAAAATAAAACGTAATAACATAATTAATAAAACAACAATATAACAATAATATAATTATGTTATCATGATAATTTAGGGACATATCAAATCAAAACTATATTCATATGGACACTTGGCATTCCATATATAGTCAGTGGATTAACCATGGACTAAAGTTAGTCCACTTTCAAGAATACCACCGTTAAGTTAAAAGGGAACAATAATAATAAAAATAATAATAACAATATTTAGAAAGCACAACATATCCATCTCTAGAGATGCTCAAGGCGCATACAAATAATTAAAATTAATATTCAACCTAAGATGAAAGAAATATACAACTTCATGGTGCCAAGGTACATACAACTCACCACTAAAATAATTTGTGTACATCTAGTATATATTTGGAGTGTAGTTTATACATTTTACTTGGCATTTTATGGGCTAATGGTTCAGGAGCATGAAGAGAATAATCAATATCATAAGACCCTGTACACTAAACAAGTTGTACTTTTGTTTTGTGCGTCCCCTTTTCTCAATAAACTTGTACAAAAAAGGGCATGCACGGTTCTGGAGTCTAGCTTTAGTTTTGTACATGGGGGTTTATGTTCTTTTTTTTCCTTTGTATTTTCTAAATTTTAACCCATGGAAGGGCATGTCAATTCTTCTTGCTGATTTTGTACACGTATACTAGGTCCTCATGAATTAACTAAGGAAACTTCAGCACTAATGATATCTTTCTTTTAAAAAGAGCTCATACAAAAAATATGATTTATGCAAATGGCATAGATTATCAAGTTTGATTAATTTTATGGTAAAAAATGATATGTCAATGTCCCTCCTTCCAAGGTCTAAATCAGGTTTAAAATGTTTTTAAGTGGAATCCATTTCATGTGCATTTCTTTTTTTTGTCCTGCTTGTTACTAGACAACAGTGCTATGTACGATCTAGAGGCTGTACTGATACACAGGGGGCCTACTGCTTACTCTGGTCATTACGTGGCCCACATCCGTAGCCATGGTGACGGAGGGGTGTGGTTCAAGTTCAACGATGAGGAGATTCAGAAGATGGAGGGAAAGAATCTAAAGCTAGGCTGTGAGGATGAACTCTGTGAGTGCTTTATTTCTTCTGTTTAAGGCAAAGACCAGTTTTTGGAAACCCTCCCCCCCCCCCCTCTCAAAAAATGAAATGGAAGCTCTTATTACCAATCATGTAAAAGAATATGTTTTAACTAATATGTGATGATACAAATTTTGCCGGGAACCGCCTTCTAATTGATATATTTGGTAAGTTATCATATCTATCCAGTCTGGATAGATATCGCGTAGTCCCATATACATCATTCTGTGTACAGTGCTTGTAACTTTACCAAGACTGGGCCAATTTTTCTTATCATTCTGATGATTCCAGAACCTTGCAGTACACACCAATACTTATATGCTAGATGATCAACCTTTTAGTATCGATTCCACAACGTTTCTTTCACAATGCAATCGTATACCTTCAAATAATATACAGATATTTAATGATTAACAGCATTGGCTGCCTGCAAGAGGGTTTTTACTGCCATTGACTATATCAGAGCTCATAGAGGCTTTCTTGTGGGCAGCCGACAAGAAGTTATTTATTAAATATGTATAGTGAAAGATGGAATTGTTCTTTTCAACAAGGTTTAATATTTTAATACAACAGCTGCACATTATTATCTCGGAAGACAAGTTTGAATCATGGTTTGTTCAACTACATAAAAGAGAAGGTTGAGATCTGGGGAGAGGTGAAAACATAATTTGTGAGTGTTTTCATTGTTATTATGCAAATGTGGAAGAACCTCAGAGAAAAAATGTTCCTTGGAAAGCATGGATTTTCAAATGCCTTCATATTCTAACTATAACAGCTTAAAAATGAGGATCTAATTTTTCTTGCCCTTCAGATTAACAAAATTGTAATGTATTTTAAAAGGAATTTGAAAGGAATCTAATAAGTTATTTGTTGATGTTCTTATTTCCAGCCGCAGGAAAGGAAGGCAAGAGACCCAAAGTACCAAAGGGAAACCATGCATCCAAGAATGCTTACATGTTGGTCTACAAAAGAAGGTCCACAGACCAGAGAGGAACAGGTAAGAATTATCTAAATAAGGCTTCCAAGTGGTACAACAAATCAGTGTACTCAATATCTTTAGCCCAGTACGTGGATGACTGACCAATATTGTTTTTGTATTGCTCAGTCATCTTGAAACTTCAACTATCGATATCACACGAAAACAAAGCCATATTTACCGAAGTCAAATTATGTTATTTTGCTAGTCACGCAGTCTGATATAGATAATAATAATAATTATTGTATGTTTTTGTTTTTGTGTGATACAAGAATATATTGCTTTCGCTATAACAATATTGGACTCGTCTCCGACTACTTCAATATTGTCAAAGCTCAAGCAATATATTCTTGTATCACGCTCAAAGCCATCCAATATTATAGTATTCCATTGTGATGTCATTCATGGAATTATTCTCCCATTTTTGTTGTACTAAAGAAAGACCAAAATTATCGGTTTACTTAATAATCGTTTTAAACATCACAATAGGCAAAGAAATTTCCCTGGATAACATATACAGTGAAACCTGTATATAAAGACAGGTCAAGGGAAACATGAGAACTAGTCTTTATAGGCAGGTAGTCTTTATGTACAGGTTCCTTCATGACAGGTTTCGATGAAAAAACATTCAAAGGAAACAAAAAATGTGGTCTTTATAGCCAGGTAGTCTTTCTATACAGGTGGTCACTAAAGCAGGTTTGACTGTAGTATGGACATGTATCTCTATGATGTATCTCTACAAGTGTTGGCAAACTGCCTTAGAAAAAAAGATATATTGCGAATGTTCACATAAGAGTGACCTACATTGTATCAGCTTCGGCGACTATTGCTCCAGTTCTCATTTTATCTACAATGAAAGATAGGGGGTTAGGGTGAGGGTTACAATGCGGTAGATTAGTAGATTAGATAGGGTTAGGTATAGGGATTGGTCTAGGGTTGCAGTTGGGAATTCGGTAAGTGTAGGAAATTGACTGCAGAGAGATTGTTTCCAGAGCATGTATGCCTATATCAAGTACAGTCAAACCTGTCTATAGCAACCGCCCAAGGGAAACATAAAAAGTGGTCTTTGTAGACAGGTTCCTTTAGAGTACATGTATCAATGAAAAAACATTTTCAAGGGAAACAAGAAATGTGGTCTTTATAGACAGGGGGTCTTTAAAGACAGGTGGTCACTGAAGCAGGTTTGACTATATATCAAAACCTTTCTGGAGCTGTAAATACGTCATTATGTCATTCTCACTTTTAGAGAGTCATGTGGATAATTCAACAACCACCAGCAACGTTGAGAGCCTACCAGACTATTTGCAGGAGCTGATCGGGCGTGATAATGAGAAGTTTGAGGACTGGTTGAGGGAGATGGTGGCAATGAGAACCAGGAATGTGGAGTCTGGAAGAAGGATGCAGCAGGAAATACAAACCATCTACAAGCAGATCCATCCTGAAGATGGTAAGGTGGTGGTGGTACAGATGACGGTGGTGGCGGTGGTGGTGGTGATAATGATGATGGTGATGGTGGTGGTGGTGGTGAAGATGAGTCGACGGTGGTAGTGATGGTGATGTGGAGTCTGGCAGAAGGATGCAGCAGGAAATACAAACCATCTACAAGCAGATCCATCCTGAAGATGGTAAGGTGGTGGTGGTACAGATGACGGCGGTGATGGTGGTGGTGGTGATAATGATGATGGTGGTGATGGTGGTGGAGGTGGAGATGGTGGCAATGAGAACCAGGAATGTGGAGTCTGAAGAAGGATGCAGCAGGAAATACAAACCATCTAAAAGCAGATACATCCTGAAGATGGTAAGGAGGTGGTGGTACAGATGGTGGTGGTGGTGGTGGTGGTAAGGCAATGATGATGGTGGTGGTGGTGGAGGTGATGCGAAGATGATGATGATGATGATGATGATGATGATGGTGGCAGTGATGATGCGATGATGATGATGATGGTGGTGGTGGTGGTGATGGTGGTGGTGGTGATGGTGGGGGTGGTGGTGGTGATGCGATGATGATGATGATGATGGTGGCAGTGATGACGCGATGATGATGATGATGATAATGCGGAGGAGCAGGATGATGATAGTGAAGATGAGGTGATGGTGGTAGTGATGGTTATGATGATGGTAATGTAGATGGTGATTACGATAAAGCTTATTTTATTTATGATGAGGATGACGATGAAATGATGATGATCGATGGTGATGGTGATTGTGATAGTGATGTCAGGGAGTTATTATTCTTCACACATGTAAACAATTTTCCAAATCATCTTTTGTAGATGGCAGATGTGATTGGATAGCAACGGAATGGCTGAAGAAATGGTTACACGAGGATGAAACTACGGGGTCAAAGGTTGGCCCGATCAACAACTACAAGTTTGAATGCAAACACAAGAATCTTGATCCACACAAAGTAAAGGAACTCAAGAGGATAAGTTCAAAAGCAGTAAGTAACTCAGGAGTATTTGTATATTCTTGTAGAGTGTGAAAACAAACATGCTAGAGCTATACCCTAAACACAATTGATGTAAATATATATTGGGGGTTTATGTAGCGCTTCATACATCTAAGAAATCTTTAAGCACAATACAGACATGTTATATTGGATATTGTATTCAGGCTTGATCACACTTAAAACATGCACATTCTCCACTCCCTGGGGAGCATTCCAGCTGGTCACCATTTTACAGATGCTCACAATGCTCGCAAATGAACAATGACATCCTACTGGGTACCCATTTAACGCCTGGGTAGAGAAGCAATGAAGTTAAAGTGCCTTGTTTAAAGATAAAGACCAGTTATGGTCACGCGATTGCATTGTGAAAGAAACGTGGTGGAATCGATCAGAAAAGTTTGATCATCTAGCATATAAGTATTGGTGTGTACTACAAGGTTCTGGAATTATCAAAATGATCAGAAATTTGGCCCAGTCTTGGTAAAGTTACAAGTACTGTACATGCGCGATACCTATCCAGTCCAAATAGATGTAATGATTTACCAAATATCTATTAGTAGGCAGTTTCTCAGCAAAACTTGTATCATCACGTATTAGTCAAAACATATTCTTTCACATGTTTGGTAATAAGAGCTTCCATTTCATTTTTTGAGAGGGGGGGGGGGGGGAGGTTTCCAAAACTGGTCTTTACCTTTAAGGACATAATTTTGGTGATGGCGATCAAACTCGACTCTTCATCTCCAGTCAAGTATCTAAACCACTCGACTACAACATTTTTTTTGTTCTCATCTAGGCTGACCTGTTGTTTGCAAAGTGTGATGTTGATGGGCTACACTTCAGAATGACCTTGTCTAAGATGTGCATGGCAGTGTCAAACAGAAATGCCAGGTTATGACGATCGTAGATCAGCTGGTGTTTTCTTTTTTTCTTTCACACATGTATTTTACTGAATGTATTTAATATTATAGTAATAATGACTGTAATGAGAGACGTTGTTTTTATCAATCTAAGGAAATGATCGTGCTATCGCCCCAAGGCGTGCCGAGGGGTGATAGCACGATTATGTAACCTCCCTGAGAGCTTATAAAAACAACTATGCCTCAAATATTAAAGCAGTCATTATAACTTTTATATACCGAACAGGGCCATAGAATACATGTGCGCTTGTTTTACGCTATCGAGGCCAAGTCTTAATAGGGTGTCTGATCACGCACCACTCGAGTTTGTGTGCTAAAGTCCTTCCCATTGAGATAGCATGCATATACGTAAAATGCCAAAACTGGTCAATAGTCTTTTGAAAAGTGCCCTAGGGCTTTTTTCAAAAGACTGTCGACCGGTTTTGGCATTTTACGTTTCTTTACGGGAATGGCTAAAAACACGACTCCAATTTCGACCAATCAGATGGCTGGATTTCTAAAGTGAGGTATATAAAATCACTATGTCTCTCATAGCAGTCATTCTTACTATAATATTTCTAACACTACGTTTTCTATTTCTGGAATGAACTGAACTTTCTCTTTTGATTTAGGCTGACCTGATGTTTGCAAAGTATGGTAGTGATGGGCTACAACTCAGAATGACCCAGTCTAAGATGTGTCTAGCATGTGTCAAGCAGAAATGCCAGGTTATGAGGATCCAAGCCCAGCTGGTCGCCGATCAGAAGTTTGTCACAGACAACACCAAAGCAAAATGTCAAAGGTAGTTTGTTGTTTGTTTAATTTGTTGATTTAATTCTTTTTTTTTAGGGAGCATCTAAGTTGAATAATGTCAAAGGTACATGTAGCTCCATGTTTTATTCTTTTTTTCCCCCACTTTTCTTTTGTTGTTTAACTGACATGATTTTGTCAATAAAAAAAATTATTTTTTGTAGCAGAGTGAACCCATCATTTTGACTAAGTGTTTTAAAAAATTCATCTTTAAAAGACCCATTAAGGATCATAGCTTTCTTCTTGTGAATAGTACAAAAAATGCATGATTAAAACAAGTTTATTCAAAGTCATGTCATTGACAGCACTACTGTAATTTAACTCTTCTCATTTTGGTTTCATAGTTGCCCAATATTTACTCTTGCAACATTTGCTCTGGGATTATTCATCAAGCATATGGGGTGAGGACTGCAATTGGGTTTAGCAATGTAGGTTTAGGGCTTGTGTCAAGAGTAAGGTCAGAGTTTGAAGCTAGGAATTCAGTCAGTAGAGGAAACATACTGCTTGGCCCTGTTTCATAAAACTTGTTATCAATAACATATGCCAAATTTCTATGCCAAATTTGCTCTCAGCCAATCAGATGCGATGATTTCAGTAGCTTATAACAGTTATTGTGACTTGTTATTGTTAACAAATTTAATTAATGTGGTCCCATTAAGTTGTTTTTATGTTTCTCATTAATTTCCTGTAGTCCCACATACTCGTTTCCTTGTCACTCATGTAACAAGGGCCGATAATATATTGTTAGAGCAATTATCACCAGAGTATGTGTCTTAGAACCAATTTCTTTCTTATTTTTGTGTGTGAATACAGTGAGGATGGGTTCTGGGTGGGTAAGGACTCTCTAAAGCAGTGGAAGAGAATGGCAGTAGAGAAGGTAGAATCTCAGTTTGATGGAGAAGGAGGAGGAGGAGCGACAGAAGGAGAAGAGGATATGGAGATCGATGATGAAGACCAGGCATTGCCTAATGGCAAATCGTCTGCAGATGGAGGTATGATACATACAATCCCATTCATGGTGTTTTAGCATACTGAATGATCTTTTTCCTCTCCAAATCGACAACGATTGTGCAATCAAAAATAAAATGATTACAAATTAATTGTGAATTCCATGCTGATGTTTTGTTTCTGTTTTTACAATGCACTTTTTGTTGGTATTATTTGTCTTCCCCCTTGATACTGGAGGTTCAATGTGTCTGGGATCATGGTATGTCTGTTCATTTGTTCGTAGGTCAAGTTATCCACCTTTTTTTTTTGTGCCCGTATATAGCTCAAGGTACACTAACAAATGGTGATATATTGCTTGTGGCAGACAAATACCGTAACATAAGCATAGTTTTATGTGCATTTTTTTCTTATAATCACATAAAGATCAAAGAGTACATGTTATAGGGGGCCATGAAACCATGTAATTCTTATCCCCCCCCCCCCTCAAACCAAAAAGAACAAAAAAATGTAACTTGCCATTTATTTGCACCCAAAATTTTTGCAGCAGCATATTTTGTTAACCTGCTTTGGTATGTATATTACACTGTTACAGCCACTGAGGGAGGAGAGAATGGAGCCCCTCCAAAAGAAAACGGAGAGCGTAAAGATGAGCAGGATGAAGAGGAAGAGGAAGAGGATGAAGAACCACTGGTATTCAACGAAGACCTTCTTTGCCCCCATGGTAGGTTATTAGCAATGATGATGACAATGATATTGAGGATGATGATGATGCTGCTGATAATGATGATGATCACGATTATGATGATGGTGATGATAATAATGGTGTTGATAGTGATGATATTTATAATAATTACCATATTTGCCGGCGTAAAGGCCGCAGTATTTTTGGAAGAGAAAATATCAAAAAGTCGGTGTGCGGCCTATGCGACGAAAGAGTAAAAAAAAAATGTTAAAAAGTAAGTCAAAACCAGCACGAATTTGCACATATGGGACTAAATCTACGAACGGTACAATAACTATACATTTCCACACATCTTACCGACAATTTTATCTTGCATTGTTGACATGAAGACGAAAATAAACTTCCAAAAACAACATCTGCCGATAGATCTTGATCTTGACAGCCTTACCTTATTCTACATATATTCTTTTGTCATGTGTAAATTTGCAATATTTGTTTGTTATATATTTGTAAAAATGCAAAAGAAAAAGAAAATCAAACAGAAATAAATAAATCAAAAATCAAATCAAAATCAAGTTTGTGCCAATGCATTGCAAAAGTAAAAGAAGGGCCCGTTTAACATAGCTGCCGCAAAGCATCCAGCATGCGAAGTCGCTATTTTGAATCCATTTCAATACACAAGAGAGAGGCGCAATGTATACATTACAAAAAACTACATAAGCTAGCATCAGTGCGGGATGGTCGATCGGTCTAAGGCGGTGATTTTAGTCAATTCAACATTTATACACAAGAGATCAAATCCCGACTTTGACAAAAAGTTTTTTTTTTTTTTTTTTTAAATGTCAAAATCGGGGTGCGGCCTATAGGACGCTGCAGCTTTATCCCCGGCAAATACGGTATGATGCTGCTGCTGTTTGATGATGACAGTGATGCTGACATAATATCTGTACTTTGAATCAGTGATATATTACTTACAACAACTGGGAAAGCTGTCTGTGAATACATCATATTCAACTGATGTACTTGCTGATTCTAGATTTGCATAGATATTAATAAGTTATCTCTTTTTCAAAATGTGCATAACTTCCTATATATGTGAATCCTGCTTCTCTTATTTTTCTGCTTTGACACGAATGAACCTACTACAAAGGTTGGATTGCCCTTTAAGGGTTTGGGTAAAATGGAATATTAAGCGCAATACAAATGTGAACATTATGAATATTTTTGTCATTATAACTTATTCCCCATCCAGGGAACCTGAGCACAGACATGAGTCAGAGGAGACTGGTCTTTGCACCAGTGTGGGAGGTCCTCCGCAAATACTTCCCGGAATCCTCAGAGTTTAAAGCCGACAGCCAGCACTGCCTGCAGTGTCATGTGAGTCACAATGCATCACTCTGCCCCCCCCCCCCCAAAAAAAAAAACACACCAAAGAACACATGATTAAGACAGGATGCATGCATACGGACACTATTGCAATTTAGTGTGCAATTTATTTCTGCGATTGAATTGATCACTATGTAGAATGTTTAATTGATTAATATAGTTTTATTAATGTATATTTATGTTTACAAAATGAGAAAGATGCTGCAGCCTTTTGTCCAACATATCCCTTTTCTTGCCTGCATCTACGTGCCAGTCTTCATTTCTCTCCATGTTCTGTCCAAGTGAAGTGCTATGCCTTCAACAACTAGCAGATGCAGAGGACACTGAGCAAGCCCAGAAGAGACATGACCTTACTAATGTCTTCCCTCTCAATGCTAAATTTAAATCCATGTGGTCCCATTTACTTGTTTTTATGTTTTTCAAATATTTCCTTTAGTCCCAATACAATACAATACAATAAAGTCATTTCTATAGCGTTCTTACAAACTAACTGTTGTTTCACAGCGCTTTACATAAAAAATTATATCCTTGTCACTCATGTACTGTCCATGTATTTTACAACAGCTAGCAGATGCTGAAGATGCCTGGCAAGCCCAGAAAGGATGTAATCTTGAAACAGAAGAAATCCCTCTCACAGCCTAATGTAGTCCCATTAACTTATTTATATGTTTTTTGGTCCCACATACTCTTTTACATGTCGGCCATTTACTCCCTGTACTCGCCTTATCAACAGCTTGCAGATGCGGAGGACGCAGAGCAAGCACAGCAGAGATGTGATCTTGCCACAGAACAGAAGAAATCCCTCTCACAGCTCTTTCATGGAAGGAGTAGACCTGCATGGAAGAAGGGAGTAAGTACACAATTTCTTTTTTTGAGGGGCTTTGTTTTATGTAAAGTATGAGAGGGTATTGTGTGAATTGAGATAAGACCTTTGTCATGGAACAAAAGGTAGTAAGTGCGAGAAATATGCAAAATATTTCCCATGCTCTCTTGGCTACTTTCTTTCAAGTCTTACACAATCTAATATATGACACCAGTTTATGAAATCAGGCTTAGCTCTGCAAAGTAACAAGACCTTTTGAGATGGACTCCTTTTTAATCAATTATGCAGATGTGTGTAATGATTTTATAATTTCTGTTCAATTCAAGGAATCCATGGAAGTGTACGTTGCCCCACTTCCCTTTGTGGAGGCGTGGCGGAGCTTTCTACGGCACCCGGTCAAAGCAGATCTCCCGACCGACATCGTAAACAGTTCGTTCATCTGCGCTCACAATGGTCTGATCTTAGATCCAAGCACCATCTCACCCATTGATGAAACATCAGGGTAAGCAGCTCAATGACACATGGGGGTGTTTCACAAAGATCCTAAGTTGAACTTAACAATTATGAAAAGCCTTTAGCATCCTTGAAAATATTTTCTAAAAGATATTTTAAAGGCAACAAATGTCGATTCAAGTCATTCATATTTTCTATTATTAAGGAGATTTCATTTTCTTGATGAGGAATTTATAATAAGTCAAAAATCCTTACACCTTGTGCACAACATTTCACAAGTTATTTACTTCTCTGTAAGCAATAACAGATATTATACTTAAAACTTAACTCCTTCGGGTAGCAGCATACCGGTCTAACATGAGATGTTCTCCCCATACGCAGAACACATCAAATTACATGTTGTTTTTTCCTATTGCACTCAGAAAAATCATGTCAATAAATGCTTGTTCATGATTTCTTATGTCATCAGTAGATGCATGCAGCTACAATTTTGTTCATGCCCTCAGTTTTGACAAAGTCGATGCTGCAGTGTTCAGTTAACCGATTGAATACTAAGCTACACATTGGCTTGAGTCTATTGAAAATTAGTGTTACATATTATGTTACTTTCACTTTGCATCCAACAAGTTGAATATTTTCAAGTAATATGATTACTCTCTATCAGTACCCCTTTCATTAACCTTTAGATCAGATTATCATTTCATAGAATTATGACTTGATTTTAGACTTTCACTGCTAGAGATAAGAGATAAGCCGGAGAATGATTTCAAATAATGATCGTGGGCAATGTATTTTTTCCCCTACAGAGTTGCGTTAGTATGGCCCTACGAATGGGAGATACTGAAAGCAAACTTCATCGTAGATCAACCCATTAGGATATGGAAGGTGATTGCGGACGAGCCTTGCTTCATTACAGAACCAGGTACAGTCAAACCTGCTTTAGTGACCACTTGTATAAAAAGACCACCTGTCTACAAAGACCTCATTTTTGGTTTCCCTTAAGTATAGTTTCTCATTGAAACACGTACTAAAGGAACCTGTACATAAAGACCACCTGTCTATAAAGACTACTTTTCTTGTCTCCCTTTGGGTGGTCTTTATAGACAGGTTTCACTGGTACTTTCTGTTCAATTTAAACCAATGCCTACTGGAACCAGCTGCTTCCTTATTAAACCTATGGGGATAATGAAAATTCAGTAGTCTATATTGTTTAAATGCTTGTTACTTCTCCTTAAAACTTCAAACCTCTGCATGCATGAAATGTTTGTGAATTTTGTGAGTGGTTAAAATTTCCCAAGTTTCATGTCGCAAGTCATTGACTCATACAGGATACAACACTGAATTTGTTGTGATCCGCAAAACTTTCTTGCCATGAAAATCGCTGTCGTTTACCCATTTCCACAGCATACATGTTGCAATCATTTCCCATAATTCCACCTGCCACAGATCTTTGCCAGACGTGCTCCCAGGAGAGACAGCTAGCCGAGCACCAGGCAAGGTTCACTTACTCCGGGGTCAAGCTCTACATCCGCAAGTACATGCCAGAGGTCGGCGAGAACGCCAAAGCTGCAATCAACTTCCTCATGGAGGCTACGTCTCCAGGTGGATCCAGCGATCAGGAGAACAAGGATCCTGATTTCCAGCAGGTCAGTGCTCTGGGGGGTCACGGTGTTTCATAAAGATTAAGATCGACTTTAAGTTGGACTTAACTATGGCTGGCCGTTCATGCCACTGGTTGCTCTTACTATTGGACTCTTAATTATGATCTGTAGATAATATTTGTTTCCTTCAATAATGAACTATCAAAAAAATAGAAATTTTGTAGATTTGTGACCACAATTCCTTCATCCTTTGAGAAACCAATGCCAGTAAACGGTGAGAGCAAACAGTGGCATGAATGGCCAGCCATAGTTAAGTCTAACTTAAGGTCCATCTTAGTATTTGTGGAACACTCCCCTGATTGTGTAAGATCTGCTCCAGGGAGGTGCCATGATATATGCTCGGGTGACAATAGCTCCAGGTTTTATAATATAAAGGATTAGGGATAGGGTCTCAATTAGGTTGTAAGTTCAGGGTTAGGTTTAGGGCTAGGGAATAGGGTCAGGTTATAGTTGCAATTAGGTTTTAGGCTAGGGTTAGAATAAGCGTTAGGTTTGCTCCAGGGTTGAAGTCTGAAATTCAGTTAGTGCAGGAAGTTGGAGAGCAGTTGTTGCTTCGTCATACAACCCCCCAGTGAACACCCTCAAATTGTTGAAAAGCTTGTTTAACCATACAACATCGTAATCTACTGCAGCAAACTATGCTCTCATTTAAATATAAAGGAAGGGGGGGGGGTTGAAATAAACTATCTGCAAATAAAAAAGTCCCCTCAAGTCTTGTTTAAATATGCAGCAGTAAACCATTGCGTTAACAAAAATAATCTTGATGTAAAGTGTAGTACTTAACATTTCTGTGTAACACAGAATTAAGCGTAAGACCATTGTTGCACTCAGCTGCCTTTCATTTACACATCAAAAAAACACTGCAGGATTTCTAATTCTTTTGTGGCTGCTTGCCGCTCCATATCTGAATGAGCCTTTAGCTTCCTCTCTTATCTGTATGTTATAATATACAGAAATGTGAGGCACACCAATCTTGTTTTATTATGTCTTGCAGTGTCAATCTTTTTTTTTAGTCCTGTAGAACAAGGCCTTACAGTTTTCCATTGAATCAATTCATGCTCCTGTTCTTCTCTAAGGTTTTGATTTGAAGAGGTATTTTTTTATTTATTTATTTATTTTTATTTAAAATGGTTTATTTCATTAAAAAACATTCGCGGCCCGAGAGCCGAATTGCAGTTTCTTTTACAAGGTATACATCAGTGACAAAGTAAAATTACACGTAAAACATTATGCATGGTAGCATTATGGTAGTAAAATTGGAATTCTTTTGTACAAATGATATATAATTATGCTTCAACGACCTTGGCAAATTGCTTGGTACATATACAGAAATTCGAATTGTATTACCATATTTGCAATAAAATGATATATCAAACTTATACAATACATGAATAGCAATAAATTTTTGATGTTCAAAAGAATTAAATGTTTTGGTTGCATTCAGAATGTGTAGGGTTTTCCTACCTTCAAACAAAGCAACAACACTATCACGATGGTTCAAATGTTGTATTTGTTGTTGATCAATTACATTATTGTGTATTTTAGAATGATCCCAAGCGAATGAAGTTGGAACTAGACAACAGCTCGAGCTCTAGGAGGAGTTCACGACACAGACGAGTAAGAGGGGAGAAAGAAGTCATGGTCTCGTCAACAAACACACTCAAAGAACTCAAGATAAAGGTAAGAGATATTCAAAAAATGATATTCAAAAATCAAGCCCAGCCTACTAACAAGTGTTCTAAAAATTGTTTACATATAGATATGTGTATATGTGGAAGCCAGGCGAAGAAGAGGCATACCTGCTATTTCCTGGTTCAAAGACATTCACATATGGACAGGGAAAAAACTGTCAGAGGCAACGAGAGCAACAGCAGACAGAGAAGGATGGCGTAAACTTGTGATGGCCACGGCAGCGCAGCTACTGCCACCTGACTGAAGAAGAATATGTCTAGAGCCGTGATATTAATATACCTTTAAATTTTGCAATATACAGTAACATCAAGAGAAATTAAGTCTTTGGCAAGACATACATGTATATCCTCAATTACTGAGTCCTTGGGATAGGACTTAAATCTGTAAGTCCCGTGGTTGCACATCTACAAGTATGTACCTGTGCATTGTTCTTTAATAGCAGTCAGGAAAATAATTGATTTAAGCTGATCTGTACTAGTTTGGGCAGGAGGGATTAGACCTCCCTGCCAGGTCACTGACAGGTGGTTATCTCATCAAATCAGCTCTCAATAAACACAAGAAAAGGGGATCATGGGGGACCAATGGTCACCAATTAAGCATTGTTTGCTATAAAGAGGGCGCAAGTAGCTATAAGTAGTGAAGTGGGGCTTTAATGCCTAGAATATTGTTTGATGATTAGAAAACTCAATTTCTTTCACTACATGTAAAATCTTTTATTCATTCATTCTGGAGCAAACTAAAGCAGTTTACTAAATTTAAAACAAAGTCATCATCTGCTTGGAGCCAGAAGGGGGTTGTTACCCTCATTTTAATTTTGCACAGATTTAATGCCCTCTTGGTTCCTAACATATAATATGCTGTGATATATTGGTGGAAAACACACATGATGACATCAGTTATAAATGTTTCCATCTACCAGCACGTGCAATAAAGCAAATGTATTCATTTATACAGGGCCCCGTCTTACTAAACGGTTACGATTGATCCAAATCAATCACAAGTCCTCCAATCAATCGCAAGTTTGCAGTCTCCTATCTCTTACTGTATGTACATAGTTGCGATTGATATCAATCGCAAATAAGTTACCATTAATATCAACTCTTTGTAAGACGGGGTCCAGATCTTGCTCCACTTCATCAAGCATTCCTGAAAGACTTTAAAGCAAAGATAACAGAACTTTCTTACCTTGTCTCTGTATGATAGGTCATGCATGCATTCAGCGTAGCACCCTTTGATCAGACCCTGCTGTTCAGGGGGAAACCCCTCCAGGATAATGAAGCAACTCTAAGTCATCTGGGGGTCATGCCCGAGGCCTTAATCACGCTGATCGTAGACAGCCCCATATGTGAGGACCCCCTTGCCATGGATGAGATTGCCAGAGGTAAGTCTGATATGTCCTCCTCTCCTTCCCCCCCCCCCCCCCCTCCCTCCAATTACGTAGTCTGGTCCTGATTTTGATTCAATACGTCAGTCGAACCACAAAACTGACTATAATCCGACTTCAAATCGACCAATTCTTGGCCATGGGGGTAATAGAATGTTTGTGTTAGGTCTCTTGTCGATCCGATGTCATTCTTGTCCGTGTATCTTGTCATTGTGACCAGCGCTCAAAATACACGGGGGCGGTGGGCGATTCGCCCCCGTGAGCTCCATAATCGCCCCCGTCATGTTGCTCACGGGGGCGATTGTAAAATTAAAAATCGCCCCCGTGGAATTATAAAATAAAGATTATCTTTTCTGATATACCTTTAACACAATATTGAGTAGCAATTTTCAAACCTTAAACTAATGAAATGGAACTTAGATGGCACCTTCTCTCCCATCTCTATGAGTATTACCGATAAATACAACGGAAGCTCGCAGTGCAGCTAGTGCGGCCCTCAGCAGTGGCTACTGCACCGGTAGTAACGGTGAGCACTCTGAAGCCCAATATCTGCTGGAGCAGGAGACGATCGCGCAAAGACTGAAACATGGAGAAGTTTTTCGTTGTGAAAAGTGTGAATCCTCTGAAATCTGGTGATTCTAAAAGACCAGCAAATAATGTAACTCGATCAGTATATCAATATTGAGAAGAAGAAGAAGATGTTGCAGGGGCGGATCTAGGCGGTTTAAGGGTTTAACCCCCCTCCCCCCTTGGGCTGTCAAGTGAAAATGTGATGTGCATAGAAAAATGCTATCATGTGTCCAGACCTACACAGCATTAGTAGATGCCAGAAAAACATCACTATAAACGGGGGTTCAAAAAAGTACCAAAAAATCGCCTCGCCGCTTTGCGGCTCGTGGACGATGCTCCGCATGTTAGCAGAACATCACTTACGGAAAACTTCACTTTTGGGGGTTCAAAATAGCAAAAACAAAAATCGACTCGCGGCTCGTGGACGATGCTCCACACCGTATTTGGGTTACCCCCCCCCCCCCACCCTTAACAAAAAGATAGATCCGCCCCTGTGTTTTGGAAGGATATGGTAAAGAATAAAAGTAAAGAAAGAATGTAAATAAGGTTGCTCGAATAATGAGGAGGAAATTATGTGCAGAACGGGAAGAAATGGAGAGAATGTCATCACGGGATATAAGTCAATAACAGCAATGTAACAAGTAAATTTCTAACAGGGAAAATGCCGACCTAAATAAATAATAGTAAAATACCAAGGAGTTTCTTGGGTACAAATTGAATGGAAATTTGTATTAAAATAAGAGCCCCCGTCAGCACTAAAAGAGCCCCCGTGAGAAGGCTCACGGGGGCTCTTTTTTCTTTGGAAGAGCCCCCGTGGACAAAAAATTAATTTGAGCCCTGATTGTGACTAAGGTATGAGTATCATAATTATGCCTCCATCACACATCACAGTGATGCCAGAAGCACTTTGTTTTCAGTCTTTCTGTTTGTACATCTCTGCGCCTGTCTCTCACACTTTTTGTCACCACAATAACTTGGAGCCTGAATGTCATTATTAAAATGGTGGAAGATACACATGATCACATTAGTAGTAAATATTCCATAAACCAGTACATGCAATACAGCAAATTTATTTTGTTTAGTATGAAGAACCTACTCCACTTCATAAATTAACTTGAAAACTATTGAACAGCGTTTAGCCAAAGTTGGGTTAAGAATTTATGTATAACTATGAAGGACAAACTGATCTGACATCTGCTTTTATAGTCTCATGTGCCTCTCTTTCTGTTTTTTTTCTACAGCATCGTCAGTACCAGAGGCAGGTTTCAAAGGTATGTTGATACTAGCACAGTGTCTATTCTTTCACTAGTGTCCTTAGCCTTAAAGATATAGACCAATAGTGGTAAAATTGTGATTCAAGGGTTTTTGGTGCAAAATTGCATTCGCGATATCTATCCAGGTCGATCGATATGATAATTTACTAAACATATCCATTAGTAGGCGGTTTCCCCGCAAAATTTGTATCATCACGTATTAGTCAAAAGATATTCTTTCACATGATAGGTAATAAGAGCTTCCATTTCATTTTTTGAAAGAGGGGCGTTTCCAAAATTGGTCTTTTCCTTTAAGCTATGATACAGGGATTCTGCATCATAGCTTGGTGCACTTGAAGACATTGTGAAATTTGTTATAGTGAAGTTGATAAATTTAAATATTTTGCATCCAGTATTAACAAATAAAGAGAACCTAATCAAATCTGGACACACTTTTATGAGGGTGTAGTACAAGTTTATCAGAACCCTGTTTCATAAAACTTGTTTACAAGCTAGTGAAATTGTGGCATTTGATTGGCTGAGAGCAAATTTGTCATAGAAATTCAGCATATGTTATTGATAACAAGTTTTATGAATTAGAATATGAATTTGAGAGTGGTCAGATTGATGTGGTTATGATGGTGTTAAACATATAGAACCTGTAGGCTGGTAGCAAGTCCATAAACTAATATACAGATGAAGAGTCAACTGTAATGTGTGCCTTCTAGTTTGAGACTATTTAAAGTACCATTTCAAAGGATTATTTGCACTTTTATGCTACATGTAAATGTACATGTTCTTAAGCAGGCAAATTCTACACATAGTTTCAAATTAATTAAATAAATAATTAAATATTAATTAATGATTCTAGAAAAAGAAAGGCTGCCAGAATTTGATACCATTATATGTTTAACATTTATCTTGAAGGTGCCCACTGAATAATGTAGCATCTCTCAATTTTTTTTCTTCAGGAACTGGCCTGCAAAGCAGTTGACCCCCAACCTTTGACCTTTGACCTCAGTGACTGAAAATGCAGCAAGTGGCCGGGTAGGGGTGTTTCAGGGATGTACAGTGCACATCAGAGAGAGAAAGATATATGCTAGACATTGTGTGATTACAAATTGTATTTGTGAAAGAAAATGTGGAAAGATATTAAAGATGACCATGGTAAAACATGACATATAGAAGGATATATGCTAGGTATTGTGTGTTTACAAATTATATTTGTGAAGAAGATGGGGGAAAATGATTAATGCAGGTACGCGGTAGACTAAAGGCTCACTCAGACACGACAAAACTGGCAGTTTTTCAAGATGACATTAAATGTACTGCTCATTACATTTCTGTACCATATAAAAAAAGCTTAGTGAATGCAGGCATGTCCTTAGCAGCGCACAGTAACTATTCATTTACACTTAAAAAAGAAGAAAAAATGTGGCACCTTTTTGCGACCGTTACAAGTTTGCCACACAATATCTGAACGAGCCTTAAAGGATATAAGTGAAATAGTGCTGTAAAAAAGAGTCTGGAGATTGCATTTTTAGGGAGACTACATGTAGGTAAAATATTGAAGATGTCTGTACTTATACAAGGAGAAATATATATACTAGATAGTCTGATTTTTAAGATTTTATTTTAATTCAGACAGGCAAATATATATGAAAATATCTGTGGCAGTACGTGAAACAGAGAAAATAGTCTATATGTGCTAGATATTGGATGTTTAAAAATTGTATATTTTAAAAAGACGGAAGTTGAAGGTACATATATTTGTGGCAGTACAGTGGCAGTACCATGCAGAGAGTAGAGTCTACTCCATGTATTGTGTGCCTGATAGATAAGTTCCCTCAGTGCTCTTGCTGTTATATAGCATTGTGATGACAATCCAAAATAGTTGGCCAAAAAGCCCAAAGTTATTGTTGCCATGGCACCTCCCCGGAGCAGGTCTTATGACAATCAGAGCACTGTCTTTTATAGTGTAATTTGTACTCATGAAATGGTTGGCAGATCATATGGAGAGTTTGGTTTCCTTGCCTAAAATTATCTGCATTTTTTGTAGCATACACGTTTAACTGTTATGCCAAATCAATTTATGTAGTCTCTACAGTAAAACCGAAAATGTGTGCAGATTGTTAACAATTTTTGTATCAAGAATCTTATCGTGAATTTGTAAACTTTGTGAACTTTTACAGTTTTACATTTAACACCTGTAATATGCTGTGAGAATCATGTATCCTTCAAACCAGTTCGTTTGTGATGGATGTCACTGTTGTTGTTTTTCATAGTGGGTCATATATCTTTTGTACTTTTCTCTGAGCTGAAAACAGGACCCTGTTTCATAAAAACTTGTTATCAATAACAAATGCTAAATTTCAATATCAAATTTGCTCTCAGCCAATCAAATGCAACGATTTCGGTAGCTTATAACAGTTATTGTAACTTGTTGTTGATAACAAGTTTTGTGAAACAGGACCCAAATGGGCTTGTACACACTGTGACTGAAAATACACTGATCTCATACGTAGAATGGGAGGGGGAGGGGAGGGGGGGGGGGGGGGGGGACATGATCTCTTCAGCTCAGATATTCCTTATTTCTTGCCTTTTGTGAATACTAAATATCTTTTTGCCTTATTGTACACATACCTGCCTGGCTGCCTCCTTCATTTAACTGGCTATTGGTGTCCATATCTGCACTCCTGATAATCAATCACTTTCCTCCACTTCTGTCCGTTTCTCTGTCTGCCTCTTCTTCTCGTTCCTTCCATTCGACTTTCAATTATCTCTGCTGCTCATTGAGTGTTAAACCCTGTACCAGTGACCATTTTGTTGTTAGCTACTGAAATCCTTGCTTCTGATTGGTTATCAACAGATTTGTCACTGATTTTTGTCGTTTGTCACTGAAGAAAGGCTTTGTGCAAACAGGGCCCTGGTGCTTATGGCTTACATACATACATACATGTGGTAGTGGTATGACAGTTTGACAGTAAGAGTATAAGAAACCCCTTTGTTATACAGTCAAATCTGCTGTAGTGACCACCTGTCTACAAAGACCACCTGTCTACAAAGGCCACATTTGTTGTTTCCCTTGAAAATGGTTTCTCATTGAATCATGTACTAAAGGAACCTGTCTACAAAGACCACCTGTCTACAAAGGCCACTCTTTGTGTTTCCCTTGTGTGGTCGCTATAGACAGGTTTGACTATAGTTGCATCACAATTTAGTTAGAAATATACTTATTCATGTAGGATGTGCCCATACCATTTGACATACCAAATTACAAGAGTTACCTGCCGCTTCAAATTCTGTTTGAAAATTAACTGTACAGAACACATTAAACTGTAGACACAAAATTGCTGATACATTATGCCCATGAAAGAGGTTGTATTTTGTAGGAAAATTAATTGATATTGATAGACTTTTCAAATTGTGATCTGTGCCATGCAGTTTGTAAATTAAGCTCGTGAAATTTGCCTTATTTTGACCAAAGAAGGCATGAAATGTGAAAACATATGATATACATGTACTGTATTGTTAGAAGTAAGAAACCTTGTGGCTAGTTTGCCTTTTATAATTATAATAATATTCCACGCTTGATACATTGAAGATATCTCTAAGTGCTTTCCAGATATATTATTACTCGGTCATCGGAAACAGGCTTGCCCTCACACAATGTATACACATTCTCCACTCCCTGGGGAGCATTTATTCTTTTACACTTCTTCTTGTGTCACTGTGATGCCAAATGGCACCTTTCAAATTCTTTTGTCAAAGTAGAACCATAACTATCAAGGAAGGGTTGATTAGGAATTTGATATTGCTGAAGTATTGTGTGTTCAGAGCTAGAAGGGCAATACCTTTAAATAAAATGTTGTTAATTGATGCCTTTCTGGCTCTCTAGATAAATTATGAAATTTTCCCAAAACAGCAGTAGCATATTTACAGCAGACTTCTAACAATCATTATTAAAAGTACATGTTATTTTTTAGGATTAGGTTGAGTAGACATTTGTGCTCATTTTGTGTTTAAGAATGTCTTTCATAATTGTACATTTTACACTCTCTCAAAGAGAAAACATGTATAACTCGGTAGACATTGTTTAAATATCATGATTATACGATGCTAAGTTATATCAAGTTTTGTTTAGTGTAAAGTATACATGTATATAGTACTGCATGTATGTTTATATGTGTATATTCAGATGCCAAACATTACACAAATCTCTTGTCGGTCCAAAGCACCGTTCATATCAGTTGACAAATCATGATCAAAGGCTCTTTGGGCCTGTATTCTATTCAAATGTAAACCTGATGCTGGGTTATTGGTTTAAGTTCAGAATATTCTTCAACAGTAAAAGTTAGTTTGAGGTCAAAGTTTCCTCTTGTTATACGTGGTGTTAGACCCAGGGTCGTGTTTAACTGAATTAGGAGAATACGGACCACTGTATTTAACCACGGACCAATTACGGATGGACATTCAACGCCTTCTCATTATGTGCATCTTAATGAGAACATACAGCTGTTTTAACAATAACGACTGCGTAAGCATTTTCGGTCATTGACAAAGGAGCAGTTTCCCTCTCTTGGGTTTTGTTTGGATGGTGTGCTCTGTAAGACCGCATCTTAAATAAAAACATTACCAATGGGGTGCAGCAAAGTTGAAAAGCAGACAATTTTGGAGATATAAAATGTATTATTACTGATTTGCACACTTTCACACGCACCAATGACCTTATAAAACAATTAGAAGGCTATGATCTTTATAAGCGCTGTACGTTGTTACTCTTGAGATCAAAGTGAAGAAACATGTACGGAATGTTATTGAGACGTCATTGACACAGACAATCACAATGAATATCTTAACAAAACAACGAATGTCCATCCGCGTAATAGGTCCATGATTTAACTTTATTGCATATTCATTGTCAAAGAGTTGCTGTACATGACTGTTTATTCCTCTGTTATGCTTAGTAGTCCTATGCAGTACATGCATGGGATACTGTGTTCACATGTGGATGTATATACATGTAATGATGTAAATAAGAGACACTACTTCTAAAGGCTTGTGAAGCACATGTACACGTTTCTTTGTCGAAGCTAGTGTATCAGTATAATGAAAGAATAAATATTTTTGCGTTTTCCATATCTTCAGGTCTCCATGAGTAGTCTTTGACTGTCATAATTTGCCTTGTCCTTGTATGTCTGTTTCTTGCTAAATTGTTCTCTATCTCTCTCATCCCGTAAGTCCAGTTGACACAAGACGCATAAACCACATACATTCTAATTTTTGTCCTGTAGTTACTCCCTTCCTCAATTATGTTGTTTTCCTATCCTCCCTTTTTAATGCATGTTCAGTGCTAATCCCCTTTTCCTTTCCGCATTGCATTTCATATACCAGTTAATCTATGAATTCAAATTTCAAGTTTTATTCTTCAATAAAAGATGGTCTTAAAAAACAGTCCAAAGATTGATACATGTACATACACAAGTTATAATGCAACTATGCAATATTTATGTTTCAGTCTTTGGACTGTTTTTATTAGGATTTTTCTTTCAATAAACCAAATAACATTTGTTTTTATATTATGAAAACTTATGTGGATGAAAACTCTATCTTGACAACCTATTGTAAGAAGATTGCCTGGCAGAGTAATGGCCAATGATGAAGGTTGATTGCAGCCATAGAGGTGCTACCCTACACCGTAGCTCAATCGAATAGCACAGGTTTTTTAAAGAAATGTCCATGTGTTTGAATACATTAGTGAACTGGGCCCCATTTCACAAAACTTGTCATCAGTGACAAATGACAGTTTTTGTTATAAGCTAGTGAAATCCTTGCTTCTGATTGGTCATCAGCAGATGTGTCACTGATTTTTGTCATTTGTCATTGAAAAAAGGCTTTGTGAAACGGGTCCAAAGGTCTATTGTCTACCTTTCTCTCCTCATCAGTCCCCCTCCCTCCTTCCCCTGTCTCTTTCTTCCCCCCCCCCCCCCCCCCTCTCTCTCTCTTTCTACCATGCTTCTATTTCTCTCCTCTTTCTTTCTTTCCCCCTCTCCCTCTCTTTTTCTCCTCCCCTCTTTCTCTCTCTTGCTACCATGCTTCTATTTCTCTCCTTTTCTTCTCCCCTCTTTCTCTCTCTCTTTCTACTATGCTTCTGTTTCTCTCCTCTTTCCTTCTTTCTCCCTCTCTCTCTTTCTTTCCCCTTCTCTCTTCCTCCCCTCTTTTTACTATGCTTCTATTTCTCTCTTTTTCTCCTCCCCTCTTTCTCTCTCTTTCTACCATGCTTCTATTTCTCTCCTCTTTCTTTCTTTCCCCCTCTCCCTCTCCTTTTCTTCTCCCCTCTTTCTCTCTCTCTCTTTCTAATATGCTTCTGTTTCTCTCCTCTTTCCTTCTTTCTCCCTCTCTCTCTTTCTTTCCCCTTCTCTCTTCCTCCCCTCTTTTTACTATGCTTCTATTTCTCTCCTCTTCCTTTCACCAACTAGACATTAAAATACTTTTCTCTTTCATAGAAGGTCCACATGCAAACACCCCTGCTCCATAAACAAAAACAGACAAGTAGACAAAATGCATTGGTTAAAATCCACAATCTCCTAAAATTTATATATATCTCAGATTAAGGAAACCACACACCGTGCTGTTTCAAGGAATAGAATATGGAAGTTTCCTTACTTACAAAAGAGAAGATGTATTTTCTTTCTTTTAATCTGAATAAGATTTAAAATCCAAGACCGAGGAAAATAAGTTCCCATTATGATTTGGTTCAATACTTCTTTCTTCCATTATACTTTTTTTTCTTCTTTATCACTTACAATATGATGATATCTTACATATGAGGTATCTTAATTCGTACTTGGTAAATTGTCAAAATTACAATGTTTTTGTGTTATTCAGGAAAAGTTTGTTTAAACAGAGCTAGAGTAACCTGCTCAGGAATTCATTACATTTTTTGCTCTTTATCTACATAAATTGTTAACACACTGTCTTTCAAAGATGTGGCATATTAAAGAAGAAAATATTTAAGGAAGGAAAATATTGTGCTAATTTATAATTTTCTTTCAGAAATTGCTCTTTTCCGTATCACTTTCACTGAAATTGAGATACAAATTCTCATTGTACTTCGCACCTTGCTGTGCTATCGGTATAACCTCTTTATTTACATAAAACATAATCTGTATAACAGACGTCTCGTCAAGTCAGTGTAATACATGTAAATGGCAAACATCTGACTCACGACTCTATACTACAGTCCCACTAACTCCTTCCCTTGCTGGATTTTTTTCTACCACTTTGGTGATAACAATGAATACTGTAATACGTAATTGATGTATTAATAATTTATGTACAATACCTGATGTTTTGGATCAAATATCCGGTGCTAAATTTAAATACATTTTGTAACTGTCATTTTGTGACCACATACAATCCAAGATTATCCATAAAGCACTTATTCTATCATCCGAACTTGCATAAAGACAATTGAAGTGTATCATAAACTTGGTTAAAAGCACAGTAGAAAGTCTGTAGTCCCATATATAGGATTTCTTGTGGGATTGTACACCATTCCTCGATGATTATGCAGTCGCTGCTTCCTTTGTGCCGAAGCCTGCAAGAAGTTTCTTGATCTCGCCAATGGCCCTGCCTGGATTCAGACCCTGTGTTTAAAAATAAAAAGTTAGAAAATTACCAAAGAAGGCAACGATATGCTTACAGATACATCTCTATTTTTTTCTTTTCTTTTTTTTCTGTTACTGTGGTTGAGAAATTCTGCTAAGAATTCAAATGCTGGACATTACTGAAGATCTATGTTTGGAACAAGAATAACTTTTATCATTTTTAATCTATAACAGACATGTTATCTTTATAAAAAACATTTGAATTATTCCCAAATATCGATGCAATGATAAAAGAACATTTGAAATGTGATACTTAAAAGCTCCAATTACGGTCATTTTAAGACTTGCAAGAATTCAAATGCTGGACAGTACTGCAGATATATGTTTAATAGGACTCAGAATAATTCACATTTTTAATCTATAACAGATAATTATTAATGCCATGTTATCTTTTTTTTAAATCCTTTGAATTATTCCCAAATATCAATGCAATGATAAAAGAACATTTGCAATGTGATACTTAAAAGCTGCAATTACGGTCAATTTCTCTGAAACTTGCAAGAATTCAAATGCTGGACAGAACTGCAGATATATCATAATTTAGGGCCAAGAATACATACATTTTTAATCTATAACAGATACATATTAATGCCATGTTATCTTTAAAAATAAATCATTTGAATTGTTCCCAAAATATAAATGATGCAATGGTAAAAAGAACACTTAAAATGAGACACTAGTACATGTACTTAAAGCTTCAATTACAGCTGTTTATTTGACACTTGCTGCATAGAAACCATTTTGTGTCGTACTAAATATGTTGGCATTGTAGCCGACAATTTAATTATTAAAAAAAACACCTATAAAAATGTTGAATTAGCCACAATTTTTTTTTAAAGACCCACAGTTAAGCTGAGATGGCACAAGACTCACCTGCCAACATTTGAAAATGAGAATTAAGAATTTTTAGCACGGTATGTCTTCGAAAATAAGAAATCTGTACCCTTAACAGGCATTCGCACATGCAGCGGCAGTGTAACTGGCAATACACGGTAAATCTGTGCAAAAAAGCGAATACAAATTCGCTGCTCAATCATGCAGCCCTTCAACGCACGCAATATGTGAACTCTCACATCGCGGCATATGAAAAAACAAGCTTAATTTGGCTTAAGCTATGAAAGAAAAAAGAAAAAATTTAAAATTTAAAAAAAAAAAAAAAAAAAAAAAAAAAAAAAAAAAAAAAAAAAAAAAAAAAAATCGAAATTTTGAAAATCCGGGATCTCCCGCATTTTGGGGTCCTAAAAATCCAGAAATGCGGAATATCCCGGAAAATGCGGGAGGGTTGGCAGGTATGCAAGAGGGGATGTACAAGGACAGTGTGGCTTTAAATGATTTGTGTACCTTTGGACATGTCTTGGTGCAGTTCATGATGGTGTGACATCGGTAGACGGAGAACTTGTCCTGAAGCTGGGCTAGCCTCTCGGCCTGGAGCTCATCACGGCTGTCTATCATCCAGCGGTAGGCCTGGAGAGGGTAAAAGGGATCGTTTAACAATGTTAAATCTGAGATGCATGGCCCTACCTGTTATCAGTGTCTTTGGAATGGTGTAATATTGAAGCTCTAAAAATTTGCGCTTAAAAATGATCATGACGTGCCTAAAAAAAGTAAAAATCTTTGAGTGACCCGTGTTACCATACTCATTTTTCCCAATAGACTGTGGTATTATAAAAACCGCTAGGAAAAAAATGAATTCTGAAATTTCTAATTTCGATCACAGATATCTTGATAATCAGACAGACGATTGGCTTGTAAAAGTCATGGGACTCATGTATGACCTAAAGGTTTATATCTATGATTGCAGCATGAGCTAAATCCAGGATTTTGTTTAGAATTTGAGGCAAAGTTACCCAATGCCTTCAAAGAAATCATTAATCAGATTACTGGTCACGGTTATATGGTCATCATTTACCACTACATGTCTGTTTGTCCCAATGCACTAGTCCCCTGGACCATTTCATAACCACTTCTTACTAAAAAATGCTAGGGTTCAGAAAAACAGCCATTGGCTGAAGCAAGTGATCCGTGTTGAAATAAAATAAAATAAAATGAAACGACAAATTCCCTGAAAGCTACTCAAATGCATTTATTTCAGTAGTTTATAATAGTTATTGTAACTTGTAATTAATAACAAGTTTTCTGAATGTTGTCCAGCTGACCTAGGGGAAAGCTTACCTGCATGAGAACTGCTGGTCCGAGATATTTATCACCATTCCACCAGTAGCTTGGGCAGGAGGTACTGCAGCAGGCACACAAAATGCACTCGTAGAGACCATCCTGAAAAGAGAAAACAAAAGTTGAAGTTAAAGCCCCACTGCACTACTTATAGCTACTTGATATATAGCAAACAATGACTACCGTAATCGGTGACCATTGGTCCTACATTCCCCTTTTTCTTATGTTAATTGAGAACTGATTGGATGAGATAAACACCTGTCAGTGACCATGTAGGGAGGTCTAATCCCTCCATGCCAAACTAGTGCAGAGGGGCTTTAATCAATGAAATTTTTGTTCTTGCTCCGGCCCAACTGCTTCTTCGTCACTTTCCTATACTAACCAAATTCTCAACTTCCATCTTGAAACAAACTTTATATCTTACCTTAACCCTTAACCTAAACCCTAACCTTGCACTTCACCTAAAATCTACATGCAACCCTAGAAACCTAACTCTTTATCTTTGATGAAATAAATCCCAGACGAAATGTCTTCGGAGCAAATGTTGGGCAACCTATCAGCGATCATCATTAACGCGCCTCTTTCAATGTACATGTTATATGAATTACTATTATATGAATTACACTGAGTGAAATGCGTAAGATGGATTAAAACTAGGGACTCCTTGTGTAACTCCTTCCAACATAATTTCAGTGGGGAAATAATACCTTGTAACTTAATTTAAGGCATCGGTCCCCCACCCCCCCTATAATTGTATACAAATAGTTAAGGACCAAGTAACTGTTCTGATAAAAACCATGCAATATATATCTTCAAAAATAATGCCAAGTGATACGTGTATACTAAACAAACAATTTTTTTCCCCCACTCCTGAAAGTTCACATTTATGAGTTGCAAAGTTTAATCCCTCCACTAATGATAAGTGTGTATAAGAATAGACAAAATCAGGGGAACAAGAAAACTTCATTGTAAGTAAATGTTAACAGCTTTGAATAAACAATATGACACTTGAAAATGGCGCCCTTACCAGCTTCGCTCTGTCGTCTATAGACTGGATGAACTGCTTCTCACCATACTTGATGTCCTCTTTCTTCTGGAGATACGGTTCAATGGATTTGTATTGGGCATAGAAGTTGTTCATGTCCTGGAGAAACATAATGAGAAACACAATGAAAATATTGATAGTGACTTGATCTGTCTCTTTTTCCAAAGGCTTGTGGACATATAAGGTGAGAAACAGCAGCAATTACTGCCATAGTATTTTATTACATGTGAATGAATGGATTGTGGGGATCAATAACGTATACATGTAGGCTATTTTATTCGCTGGTTTTACCAGGCTGTATTAAATAGCTAGGAAGACATCATATCAGGGCCAGATTAAATCATGTCTGTAGTTTCAAGTAAAATATACATGTCAATAGTAATAAATATAAACTTTACAAATATTTGCTTTCGAATGCGTGCATCTTTGAGATAATCACATTTTTCGTGCAAACTATCTTTTCTGAAATGTAAACAAGAATTTTATTTACCGGCACAAGGTCCTTGATGACGTACATGTGAGGAAGTGGGTAGATCTTGGTGGCCTTGCTTGAACCCCGGTCAATACGGCTGAAAGATGGAGGAAAGGGGAAAAAGAAATGTGATAAAAAATTGTCGATAGATCTTAAAATCCAACAGAAATGGTATATAGAAGTGGTATGATTTAAATGCTTAACTTGTTTCTCACCAGCCAAGTGAAATTTCTGTTGCCTGACCATATGAGTATTTCAAAAGTTTTGATCTACATTACTTCAAGAACTACAACTAACTGCCAGATGTGCAGCAGTTTGTTTACCATGATTCAATATTTGTACACGTACACTGAGATTTTGTCCTTGACTCTAATTTTATTAGCGTGCAGTAATGCATTCTGCCCCTTCAACATTTAAAAGTAGGCCTACTTTACATGTATGATCTTGCGTGATGGTGCTGTTGACATTCACAGAAGTTGATTGGGGAGGGGAGGGAGGGAGGGAGGGGGAGGGGGTGTAGATACCGGTCTAGACATAGACTATTCACCACCGAAATGAAGTAGGCTGACTAAATATATTGATTGTTTCATGGCTTACCTAATGCATGCTAGTGTATTGGTGCCGTTGATGTTCATGGAGCATGACCCACAGATGCCCTCTCGACATGACCTCCTAAAGGTCAAAGTGGGGTCAAGCTCGTTCTTGATCTTGATCAACGCATCAAGGACCATGGGGCCACACCTGTACATGGAAACAAAATTACATTAGATTTTCTTTTTCAAAGTGTAAACAGCATTAATTGATATTCTCATTTATGTTCATGCATACAAGTGAGTATTAAATAGTACAGAGTGCCCAAAAGGCATAAATAAATTGAGCATTTCTTATTAATAACAAGTTTTATGACACAGGGCCCAGGTTCCATCAGGTGCCCATCTACATACATCTGGGTGTACTTATTACATCTATGTCTCTGCTCTCAGCACAGAGTTAGCAGACAATTCAATGGAGGAGCTTTCTAAAGTTTATAAACACACCAACACAAGGTGACAAAAGCTCTCTCTCTCTCTCTTCCTGTACATAGAGCAAGTTTTCTTACTAATCATCAAGTGTTACACGTATGACTCACGTGTTAAGGTCCACATCATACGTCTGCATGCGGGGCTTGTCTCCTTCCTTGTCTGGGTCCTAAAATTACACACACACAAATAATAATAATAATGAAAATTGACATTTTCAGGAGGAAAAATTAGGAATAACTGCACTAAATACCCAATCACAAAAGGAACCTTCACCCTTACCCTGGCGGCATGCTTATAAAACTTAACATTCTTTGTGTTTCCACCTCCATAAATACCAGACAAATGCCAGAAATATTGCAATTGAAAATGTCATCTTGATTTACTCTGTTATTTCTGCTACAAGGGGGATCTTTTTCGTTAAATTTATAAATAAGGTTCTTTTCATCATCATCATCTAGTGAATATTGACAAATGTACGATGAGAGCTTGACTTTAAAAGTAAAATTCATGAGCATGTATCCTTGAACCCATATACATGTAATAAGTTGGCCTTAAGTACATCTGCAAGATCTAAGATCTACATTGTACATGTAGCTCATGATCTCCTGCACGTAGCTGGAAGCATAGTAAAACATTTTATTGCGTAAATGCATATCCCTTCGGTGAACTTCTGTATCATTTAACTCAATACAATGGACCTTTAAAATGAAATTTAATGTCAACAGTGAGGATTACATACATGTGCAAATATTTAATCATCTTGCTTGCTACAGTAAAGACGACAGTTCAGAATTTGGACTAACTTTACTTTGTGATATTTTTAGAATTGGACCAGTGCGGTAGAGAATGAATAAAAGGCGAGAAAATCATGAAACATTCTTATGATAAGGGTTCCAACTTACAGAATTGGAACGATGTTGTCAAAATCATGGGAATCTTGCTCTAGCCCATTGCATTTCAGTATCACCTTCTAGTTTTAGTGACATTTCATTATTATCTATTCATCAAGAATGATCAGAATTACAGCTTGTTAGATGAGCAGAAAGCACTAAACAAAAATCACAGGAAAACTTGATTCCATGTCTGCTGCAGTAGATTAGGCCATTCATGAAAGAGAGCGATTGAATAAAAAATAACTGGTAAGGTAAGTCTCTAAATTAGTAATGGAGAGCGAAAATGATAATCAACATTTCCATATACAAATTGGAAAATTCTTGTTCGATTTTTTTTTTCTTCAAAATGTTCATTCAGAGTTTTCACACTATTCATTTTTATACTTTTTTGATATTTCTATTTGTTTTTTCTTGAACTATGAAAGAGTAGAAAATACAAAATAATTGGTGCTAATAAGAGAACCTAATAACTACAAAACTCTGACCTACATGTACTATGGTATGGGATAGCAATGTAAGAAATACTTACCCATCTGTAAATGGAAAACGTCTTCAACTTTTCAGCTGGTCTATCTGCAGCTGCAGTTTGTGCCAGCCTTATTGCCTGTATGAAAGATAATATGTCAATATATTCATGCAATAAATGATTCGGTTCTTGTATCATAGCGCATATCACATTATGTAACGTCTCTATGCGCTTCCAAAGAGCTTTGGAAATTATCTCTCGTCATTTATTTTTTAAAGTCAATAGAATTCGCTGAATTTAGATTTTCGTGAGCTCCCTAATGTTGAATTGCTTAGATTACAGTCGTTACCTAAAAACACGCGCGAGCGCGCACGCACCCCATCGTTGGTACGGTATGCAATTGTATTGTGCAGCAGTTTGCCGTGAATCCCGTGAGAAAGTAAGTCTTCATTTTCAGGAAAAACACTCCAAAAAAGATAAGAAAATTGACACGAAACTGGTAAGAAACATAATGACTTTTAAATCATGACCATTATTTGAACAACTAAACATGTGTCAAAATATGGATTCTTCATCCGAATGTCAACGAGAGGCAAATAAGTTTTTAACCTTAAATGCCTACTTCCAAGGTATATCCAAGGTATAATTGATGAAGATTAAGTTGATTTTCGGTATGTTTTAGTTAGGGTATCTCCACGCCGGAGTTACGGTTCAAAGTCTGAATACACCTTTGAACTAGCGCCCTTTTTTTAATCACCTAGATCTAGCCCTTCAGACTAGGGCCTACTCCACACAGCTCACAAGTCACAGCAACAAGCAATTGCATGTTAAATAAGTCTCACCTCTTGGTGATATCTATAACAATTAACATATATTTCATAAATAACCAAGCCCGTAAGGCTACGGTGAACAAGCGTAACACAGAATGGAAGAAATCTGAATATTGAAATTTGAAGCAACACTTGACTAAAAAATCTAAAACAACAGCAACACACAATTCACAAATGACAAACTAACAAAGCTTCATTAAATTAAATCTAAATAGACTACTAAATTGTTTGGACAAAAAGTGGCCCCAATGATGTCTTTATCAGCTATAGATCATTAATTACCCATGAAAGAAGAAACAGTCAACTCACCTGGCATGTTTGTGCTAAATGTTGTCTCTGAAGCAGAGATATTGAGTTTCGTAGAGCAGTCGCCATTTCGTTCACTTGATAAATGCATACAATAATATGACGCCGGTATACATAACGTACACAATCTCTACGTAGTAAGGTCGCGTTATGTCACTGTGCTGTGCGTGTTATAAAATAGATTGCAGGAAATAGACGTATAGCCAGTCGTCTTCTGAATGTACGAAGACTTTACAACGTAGCAAGCTAGGGCGATTACCGTGGAGTTCCAGTGATTGACTGGGAAATAAGGATAATTGAAGGATCCCTATCACTAATGAATGAACCCCCCCCCACCCCCCCCCCCCCCAAGTAGAGAAACACTTATTATAATTGAATACAGACTATACTAAGAATAAGAAGAAATAATAGGAAATACACAAACGCCGTTCATCAAAAGCGAAAACTAGTCATGATACAGCTCTTTTCCATTGAAATCTGAATATGCATGCTGCCCCCCCGAAAAGCCCCATATACGCCCAAAATGAAAAAAAAAGAAGAATTATGCCTGCATGCCGCTTGGTTCAATCAGCTTAATATAGAGACATATGATCTCTCTTTCAACATCAGGACATCGTTGATTAAAATATATAATAGGGATGTGTCTTCCCGAAAAGAAATTTTTTAAATGCCTGGGGTCGTTCTCAAAATATATTGGAGAATCCAAAAATTTGTTTAAATGAAGTTTTAACGCTCTTACTACATGTACTCCCATATAATAGGAGAAAAGAGAAAATGGGTGTATAAGCTCAGACTTGAAAAGAAAAGTGCTCTAGAATCTGAAATGGTCAGTCAAAAAACGTCTTTTGAGTGGGGGGTGGGGGGGGGGGGGGCGAAGACTAACCCCCATTCAAAGATTGATAATATGCATGTGCATTGCTTTTGTGGCGATTAAAAAATAATGGTTCAGCCCCCTTAAACAAATTTCGCTCATTTCACCACTGTAGCTTTGTGAAGGGTTAGGACTGCACTACTTGTAGCTACTTGCGCCCTCTATATATCTATAAACAATATTATGCCTAATCGGTGACCGTTGGTCCCCCATGATCCCTTTTTTCTGATTTGATGAGCTGATGTGATGAGATGGGGTTGACGTTTATAAGGCTAGTTGCCCTTTTTGTTGACCCCACATTCCCATAAAATTTTGTTCGCTCCTTCCCTTTGTATTTTTGTTGTTATCGATCTTTATCTGTATATCAGTAAGTTTTACAGCATGTTGTACAGTGAAGTAGAGTACGATCGAGTGCTCGGATAATTGTTATAATAGTTTCTTTCAAGGTTTACCGAAATTGACTGAAAAATCTCGAGAATACTGTGAAGGATCTATAAGTAATAAAGAATGCCTAGAAATCTTAAAAGAATTAAAACAGAACAAATCACCTGGAAATGACCGTACGGTTTTTCTTCAGAATTTTATCGTACCTTTTGGCCGGATATTGGAGATTTAGTTAAAGATGCCTTGAATGAAGCATATAGATTTGGAGAATTAGCATCGTCTCAAAAACAAGCTGTAATTACGTTAATCGCTAAAGATGGGAAAGATCCCTTTTCACTGAAAAATTATAGACCCATTTCCCTTCTTAATGTCGATTATAAAATCTTAACAAAAATTTTGGCTAAGCGAATCAAGAAAGTATTAAATGAGATCATTATGGGAGATCAGGTGGGCTACATGAAAGGGAGGGATATTGGTGAGGCCATTCGCATTATAGATGATATTATTTTTCATACATCCCGTTACAATTTATCTGGTTTTTTTGTTAGCTGTAGACTTCGAAAAAGCTTTTGACTCAATTTCACATCAATTTCTTTAAAAAGTTCTGTCGTCATTTGGTTTCGGTCCATCCTTTCAAAAGTGGGTTAAAGTTTTATACACAAACACTCTAAGTTGTGAGGGTCCACTGGTTATTTCAAAGTAGAAAGGGCAGTAAGACAGGGAGACCCTCTTTCTCCGTACCTCTTTATCTTGTGTATTGAAGTAATGGCACACAAATTACGAATAGATAAATTGGTGGACGGAATTAATTTTGGAGATAAGGAAACTAAACTAGTACTTTATGCGGATGATATGACAATTTTTGTTCGCAATAAAAAAATCAATTAATAGGTTAAAAGTATTATTTGCAGATTTCGAAAAAATTTCTGGACTAAAAAAATAAACAACGACAAGACTAAAATATTAAGGTTAGGTTTATGGCAACGTTTAGATTGTGATTTTGCTTTTGGCGAAAAAGTTGACTTTCTTAAGGTTTTAGGGATTTTCTTTTCCCTCGATGAACACAAGAAAGAAGATCTAAATTATAAAGAAATCTTAAGTAATAAAAACACTTTTAAATTTTTGGAAGCAAAGGGATTTAACACTTATGGGTAAGATTCAATTATTGAAGGTGCACATTTATTCTAAAGTTCTTTATCGGTCGTCACTTACTCCTGTTCCAAAATGGGTTTATGATTCACTGGATGAATTAACTTTTGATTTCATATGGAAAGGAAAAACAGATAAAATCAATAGAAACACCATGTTCTTAGACTATAAGCAAGGGGGTTAAAGATGTTAAATTTTTCGGCACAAGTTAAATCGCAGCGAATTATGTGGATTCAAAAACTTCTAAACAAAGATGAAGACATGAAATGGAAACAATATTTTAACTTTGTCACTGAACACGTGGGTGGAGATTTGATATTTTCATGTGACTATATACCAAGTTTATTAAAAGTGACAGCTCCACAATTTTATATGGATTTATTAGAAGATTGGGCGAATACGAGACATATAAGGAGTATAGACATTGGTGATGTGGTAATTTTTAATAATAAACTTATTCGATATAAAGGAAGTTGTAAATACGATAAGAGGTTGTATGACAAAGGAATTTACAAATTAAAACATATTCTGGAAAACGATGGTAAACTAAAATGTGACAGGCATTTTATCGATTTAGGTGTTGAAGTAAATGAAATTGAAAAAATCAAGCACTTTTATGCCTGTTTACCAGTTTGTTGGAAAAATAATTTTAGAAAGGGAGAAGAAAAAAATAATTCTTGAACTGATTTCATTTTGGGGAAGAAAACAACTAATATAGCTGATCTAAAATCAAAACAAATTTATGTACAATTAATAAAGAAAGATGATTTTAAACCTTTGGTTTTTGAGAGAATTGGAAGGAACTATGGTTTTTCCTGTAAGGAAATAGAAAACATATTTTTAAGACTAAGACAGTGTACACTTAACAGTCGATTAAGAGAGTTTCAGTTCAAACTTATACATAATATATTATATACAAACCATAACCTCTTCCGTTTTGGTCTTGTCTCGACTAACTTATGCTCATTTTGCGAAAAAGATGAAGAAACATATAAACATTTATTCTATACTTGTGAATTTGCACAATCAGTGTGGGGAATGTGCACGAGATTTTTAGACTTTGAAATACATAACTGTAGTTTGGAGGAAATTCTGTATGGGAAAGAGGAGAGAAATAAAGGAAAATATCAATTCATGAATCATGTTTTAATTCGATTCCATGACATTTGCTCCGGCGACAATTGCTCCGCTGTAAATTTCATACACTAATCGAATGGCTAACTTCAACCCTGGATTCAACACTATACCCTATCCTAAACCTAACCCTAAACCTAACATAAAACCCTATTGAAACCCTAACCCTAACCCTACATCTTAGACGAAATAAAGCCCGGAGCAATTGTCGCAGGAGCAAATGTCGTGTCACCTTTAATTCTTGTTAAATATCTGATTTATAGAAATAGAGAACTTAAAAAACCACCCTCTTTTAATGAAATAAAGAATAGTATAATAGGGGATAAAGTAGAAGAAAGGAAATTGGCAGCAATGAGGGGAACTCTCACTATTCATTTTTCTAAATGGGAAAACCTGAGTATTAGACAAACAATTGGAACCCAGAGCCAGTCGTCCATCGGTTAAGAGGGGGGGGGGGGGGAGGGGGATAAGGGAGAGGTCGGGTAGGGTAGGGTTAACAAAAAGAGAAAACTTTTCTCTCAGGACAACAGTATAAAAGAAGTATATAAGTTGCTACATTGTTAAAACAAAATTTTCTGATTATACAACTGCATATGTTTTCTTTGAAAATATGAATTTTTGTTTCAAATATGATGTATAGGAACTAACTAAGTTTCTTTTGAAGCCGTTTGTAAGACACAAATTTATACTGATTTATAATGTCATCACATTTGCAGTGAGCGTTACATATGATGATTGTAATTTGTACTATGATTATGATTTGTTTCAAGAGAGAAAAGAATAAAAACTGACCATAAAAAAAAATATCATGTTTGTATGTTTTAATGTTTTTATGGAGAATGAAATAAATGAAATGAAATGAAATGAGATAACCACCTGTCAGTGACCACGTACGCTAGGTGGTCAAATCCCTCCTGGCCAAACAAGTGCAGATTGACTTTAATATGTCAATGACGTTTTGATGAAATACAATAAAACATAACAATTATAATACACAATAACAACGATTCTTTATTTTGTTCTTTTATCTGCAAATCACTTTTTGTGTCGAGATCAATACGTTACCTTGACCTATACTGCAGCTGTTATGAACTTCAAACCAGTCCTTTTATTTCCTGAGCATATTATGTCCCATTGTCTTCACCAATATAGGCATAAAACCAAAGCCCATTTTCAACGAGACTCAAAATAATATGAAATTTTCCTCTTTTCTTACGACTTTTTTTTTAAACATCTGGCCGCTGCTCTTCTTCTTCCCAGCTTTCTGACCGTGCTCTTCCATCCCCCCCCCCTCTCTCTCTCTCTCTCTCTCTCTCTCTCTCTCTCCCTCTCTTTGTTCCTCTCATGGTCTCTCTTCCTCCCCTATCTCTATGTCTCTGTTTAAAAAATAAAAAAATCTCATTACAGTGCTGGATCCAGGTGGGGGCGGAATCGGCCGCGGCCCCACCTTGTTGGCGGTCTAAAAAAAAGGAGAGAGAGAGAGAGAGAGCGACGGAAGAAACACGGAAAAAAGAAAGATAAAATAAGGTAAAAGAGAAGAAGAACAAGAAGAGAGAGAGAGAGAGAGAGAGAGAGAGAGGGAGAAAGGGAGAAGGGAGAGAGAGAGAGAGAGTGACAGGG